TATGTTCCTGTGTTTGTCTGTGTGTGTGTGTGTGTGTGTGTGTGTGTGTGTGTGTGTGTGTGTGTGTGTGTGTGTGTGTGTGTGTGTGTGTCTGTTGGGGATGGGGAGGAGAGAACTGAGATGAACAGATGGCAGCAGACATGGGCAAACATAATCCTGGCATTACAAAGAAGACAAAAGCTTTATAAATGTATGAATCAAATCAGATTGTATGTCATTTGGGTGGTAAAATAAGGCCTTCAGTGTTTTGATCCAGCAAGGATTAACCACTGCAGTCATTTAACTGAGCAAAAACAAAACAAACCTTAAGTGTTCATGTTTATCAGATGCAATGTTTTCACTAATGTTTTGAACTTTGCTTTTAATATTGCTTGAGATAAACTAACCTCACCTGAAACACATTATGGCAATTTAGCTACAGCGATGATGAAATGATCTTCAGAAACATGTAAAGATTAAAAAAATATCTCAAATATATTTGTCTAGCAAAAAAATAAAGCCAGCTTCAGCAACCTGAAAGGGTGTGTTAGCAGTAAGAAAGTGCTTATAATATAGGAGCTAAATCAGCAATAAAAACATTTGACATTTAAAGCCTGTCTGTTTACTGTTATCCTTGATGAAAAGAGACCTTTTGGATCACTAACATTAAAAACAAACAGCATCAGTATTCCATAGTGTAACAATAAGGCCTTTTCTGCTGCTTATGTCTACAGATATCTACTCTCTTAAAGCTAGAGCTGGTTTAACTGATGGGATTGTTTTCAGTTGGGATACATATATATATATATATATATATATATATATATATATATATATATATATATATATATATATATATATATATATATATATATATATATATATATATATATATATATATATATATATATATATATATAAGAAATACCAAGGGCTGAAAGAGGAGCTAGAAAAGATGTGGAAAGTAAGAGCAGCAGTGGTGCCAGTGGTCATTGGAGCACTGGGGGCTGTGACCCCCAAACTGGGAGAGTGGCTACAGCACATTCCAAGTAAAACATCAGAGGTCTCTGTCCAGAAGAGCGCAGTCCTAGGAACAGCTAAGATACTGCGCAGAACCCTCAAACTCCCAGGCCTCTGGTAGAGGACCCGAGCTTGAGGATGACACATACCACCCCACGAGGGGTGAGAAAACAGTTAAATATATATATATATATATATATATATATATATATATATATATATATATATATATATATATATATATATATATATATATATATATATATATATAGTTTGCATGTTCTCCCTGAGCATGTATGGGTTCTTTCCGGGTACTCCGCTTCCTACCACAGTCCAAAAACATGACTGTTAGGTTAATTGGCTTCTCTAAGTTCTCCTTAGGTGTGAGCGTGTGTGTGTGATTGGTTGTTTGTCCTGTTTGTCTCTGTGTTGCCCTGCGGGTGTACCCCTCCTCTCGCCCATTGACAGCTGGAGATAGGCACCAGCACCCCTTGTGACCCCATTTGGGATTAAGCGTGTTAGAAAATAGATAGATAGATAGATAGATAGATAGATAGATAGATAGATAGATAGATAGATAGATAGATAGATAGATAGATAGATAGATAGATAGATAGATAGATAGATAGATAGATAGATAGATAGATAGATAGATAGATAGATGGTAACAGCATTATTTATTTAGATTTGTGTAAGTCTAACCTCAAATAGCATAAATCACAGCATCTGTTAGGCAGTGTCACAGCACCACCCAGTGTACTCACACAGGTAGGACTACAAACTGACTGGGTTGGAAAGGTTTAATTTTCCAGACAGCTCCTTGTCCCTTATACTTGACTGATTTAACTCTCTTTTAATCTGTCATCGTCTTATTTTGAAAACATGTTTTCTGATGGTTCTCTTAGTTTGATCATTTCGTATATGTATATGTAGTGGTGTTTTTCCTTCTCTGCCTACTGGGAAGCAGTTTGTGTTCCATTTGGTGGTATGAAAAGGGATTTACGATAAATATTGATTGATATTTATCCAGGGTCACCACTTTTTAAATATGAACAATCTTTATTTCTACCAACTCAGTAGTTAAATGGTAGATAATCATCAAAAGATTTTGTCCCTTTTTCCAAAGGAAATGACTTTCTGTCTTGAGACCTCATTTCCGGTCCACACTCATGCATTTCAGTGATGTACTTGTGCATTGACCTGAAATATATTTATCAAATGAATATGATACTTCAGGCAAGAGTTGTAGAGTTTTCCTTTAACAATTGACGGCAAAGCCTCAACAATTGGTAGTAAATGGGAGGATCAGGAATGCATGTGCCTCTAGTCAACTACAGGTATGGCTCTTTTATGCACTGCTCAAACACATGCACATATTGATCAATGTCCATAAAAGGAAAACATGCAAATATTAGCCAAAAATATTGCCAGGCTATATAACGGTTCTATCTATAGTACATATATGAATCTGAAGCTGCAGCTTTTATTTTTGCAAGTAACATAGAGAGACAGCATAATAATTTGAGAGTTATCTAGAATGAATGAGTTATACAGCTAAGGAAGGTCAACTCCCCCTCCACAAATTTTCAGTTTATAGTTCATCGTATATAAAGGTACTGCTACAATTTATTTTCTGTGGGTTAAAAAATTATATGATGTACAACCTTTTTCTACAGTAAATGTTAGTTGAGGTGGAAACCCAGAGCAGTTAATTATTGCCCTTGAAAAGGATCCTGGAGGTATTACCTTCATCAAGTTTATCATTTATAATAAAGTCGGATTATCTGTACCATGTGAATGAGGAAGGCAGTGTGAAAATCATAGTTCAGATAATGTGGTGCCCCCAATAATTATACATCATGTTGTGATTTTTTAGTGGGATTAGATCTTGATGTTAAAAGGCAGTCATCACACTGACCATGTTTTGGAGATATAATCGATCTCCTCACTTTTGATCAAATAAATGCATTTGTGTATGCTGTTATGAAAGGAACCCATTCAGACTGGTTCAGGTATAATATGTAATAGGTCAGTGTATTTATGTATCATTGAATTTAATTTTTAGAAATTAGTATAAAAAAGAAAACAGGTGAGTATTCAATTTTTGTTTTTAAAATACAATAATTAAAATACAAAGTGTTTCTTTTGTTCTATGTCAAAAAGGATGGACAACACTTTGAAAATAATTTTATTTAGATCAGAAAACAAAAATAATTTTTTAAACAGAAACAGGAAAATGACAGAATTATTCATTTTTGTGATTTATTTAATAATTTGAGGGTAAAGCATAATTAAAAGGAAAATTAAAGAAGGTTGCCAAAAACTGTGGGGATATTATAGTAAATGAAGATGTCTCAAAAGAATACAAAGGCAGGTTGGAGGAATTAGAAGAAATATTTGGAAGAAGCAGAATATTGAAAAAGGCAATAACTGGATTATGACTGGGGCAAACAGGAATATATTCAACATTACATAGAATAGTAGAATGGGAAAGCTGGAAATAGGAAGATGTGAACTCTGAGGGAGAAGTGAAAAATACAGAATGCATGTATACACACAGACAGGGACGTGCACAGATAGACACTAGGTGGTGCTAGAGTACCTTACCCGTTTTCCTCCTGTCAAAAAAGTCCCCCTCCCCATCTTTTTTTTAAGTGTTTGGCCAAAAATACCATTTATGAATTTAAAAGCGTATCAAACCCAGAGTCCAGTTTTATAATATTTGACTCATGTATTTTTTTTATGACAACTATATTACACATTTCAACAAACATAAGGCCAAACACAAGGCCAGATGGTCAAAATATGTAAAAAATTACTTTAAAAAAGATCTATGTAGTTATAGTGTGGCTTGTAGATGAGGTTGCATTTTCAATTTATCTGTTTATTGCCAGACATTTTGGACTGCAAAAAAAAATGACTTGAAAATATGTAAAATTTTCTGAAAATAACTGTTTTCCCCCCCTAATCTGAAGAGGGAAATTAGATTATCTGTCAGTGGAATGAGAGTCTTTAACCTTAAATTAAGAGTATTACATGATATATTCTTGAAATAAGTTAATAGAGCTGTTGTTTTTTTCAAGTTTTAAATGTAAATCTTGGTTTATCTGCAAATGTTCATATATACCCGCTCAAATAAAGAGAAAATAAACTTAAACATAATCTGGAATCCTGAGCTTCGCTTTAGACTTCTCCATTTCTATGTACCTTGGAAAACTGCCTGACAAACTTTGAGCAAGTGACACATATTTATGGAAGATATTTATGACTACAAGCAATAAGGCAGTTACCACCAAGGCTACCCACCCTGAAGCTCTTAGATAAATAAATAAAATTGATCCAGGGGAAGGAGACATTATATTACTAGATCTCAAGAAGAAGAAAGACTGTTGAAGAAATGGGATCACCACACACTAAAGACTAATTATAGCAGCTACATGTAAACTAGAAACCGTGTTATACAGTGTAATGTGCTCTCGCCTTTAATTGTGTTCTTTTTTCACATAAATGAAAAATAAACAAATTTTAATTCAATAAAATCTAGTCTTATGTTTTTCAGATTTGTTTATATATCAGTGGGTTTGAGATTGTTCTTCATTAAATTGATGCCATTGCGGCATTGCTACCAATGGACTGCGAAAGGATGTTAAACATCCATGTATAAGGTGCCCTTTTTCCAACCAGAGCACCTACCCCGAAAAATGTCTGTGCACACCACTGCATACAGAACAAAATTAAGAAGGGTATATAATCATGTGTATGTATATATATATATATATATATATATATATATATATATATATATATATATATATATATATATATATATATATATATATATATATATATATATATATAATTTACATATTTATATATATATTTAGTTATATATATATTTAGGCCTAAATTATTATTTACATTTATTACACTCCTTACTGTTTGGTGGTAGTAATGCATCAAAGTTTTTTTTTTTTTTTTTTTGCCAACCACCATTAAAATCAAAGAAGAAGAAGAACAAAAAATTGAGCAAGGGCTGTAGTGACCATAGTGACAGCGGCGGTTACTGCTCCTTTAATCCGCTCTCCTCCTCGTCTCACCTGCCGTGTTGCCCTCCTGCTTCCTTCCCCATTCTCTGCTTTGTTTTTATTGTTGCTCTCTCTCTGAATTTGGATCATGGCTGCCCATTCTGTTGACGAACCGTTCCCTTTCCACGGGCTTCTCCCCAAGAAAGAAACCGGCGCCTCTTCTTACCTCACCAGGTTCCCAGAGTATGACGGTCGAGGGGTGCTTATCGCCATACTCGACACCGGCGTGGACCCCGGGGCCCCCGGCATGCAGGTAAATGAGCTCTCCTGCCTCGTGCTAGCTGACCCGGGATGGTCGAAGCTAGCAATGCTAAAGGCCGACGTTACCAGATACCCGTAATATTACACTTCATAATTTTATTTAATAAACACAAGACATATAATTTAGGACATAACAACTGTTTTCTAACGATGTCAAAAGTGTTTGTATGCGTTCAACGATGCGCATATTAATGTTTTAGCATAAATGCTAACCGGGTGGCTAGTAGCAGCGTTTGTTCGTACGAAGTTGGCGTCCGAATAGTAGCTTTCGTGTCGGCAGAGAGCTTTTATGTTTTATTTAAATTAACCAGGCTCTCATGAAATAAGCTCTAGTTCTAAGTTAACAGTGCTCGCTATCAAACGTGATCTCCTTTGATGTATATAACTTAAGTATAAATACGTTTTGGGATCATCTGCCAATCCTGACTTGACAGCAAAGTACAGGAAGGGTTTCAGTGGGGTAGGGGACTTAATGGGGTCTAAAATGAAAAACGCTACACTGTAAAGAATCAAAGGTTTTATCGGTTGGTCTGCACCGATAACCTCCCTTTATGCACTTGAACTTGGAAGAATAAAAAAAAAAGAACTATAAATATTAAGTGATTTCATTGCTGGATGATCGTTTCAGTCTTAACAAAATTAGTACATTCTGTCTTTTATATCACATGGAAGCAGGCCAGTCTCATTATTGTTGAAATTTATGCGGGACTGGATCCGTGCCAGCTACTAATATACCTATTATCTATAATTATTGTATAGTGATTCAGATTTTACAAGTTTTGGCATTATTATTTGAAAGGAGGCTCTGATTTAACGTGCTCAAAATGATTGAATGGCATTGCTTATGGATTTGCTTATGAATGAATAAATTCATAGCTGCATATTATCTGTGTATTTTAGTTTTTTAAACAAGAATTGGTCCCAAGAATTGGTCCCAAATATCAAGGCTTCCTCAAAAAAAGAAGTGGATAACGAAAGAATAGAACTGTCAAATAGCTTTTAAATAAAGCTGCTACTCTGAAACTTTCATCTCATCCTCAAATTATCTGTAACGTTTGATTGGGAAAACGAAACTGAATACAGTCACAGGTTAATGGTTGAAAATTAGGAATGCCAGGTTATATTTCGATTGCGTTTTAAAAGATTTTGCTCTCCTTTTACAATGTACTCTCAGTTGAATTGAGACTGGCTTTGTTTGTTATCGGTATTCAAAGCACATATAATGTGTGGACAAAAAACCCCAAACGTATATTGTTTTTGTTTCAAACTGTTTTATTGAGGAAACATACCTGAAAATTCAGACATCAACAATTTAAATTTTTCCTCTTTTTTGATGTAAACATGAAACATAAAGATAACACAAAGTCAAAACGAAACATAACTGACATAAATAAACAGAAACACTTTCAGGACTCTTCCCTTCAGGACTTTTTCCTGGGACTTACATTTTTTCACACTGAGAATCAGATCCAGTTCTCTTCAAATAGAATTATCAATATATTGCCGAAGGGGTTGCCAAGTTCTATTGAATCGCTTTAAATTATTTGCTAAAGAAAACTGTATTTTTTTCCAGATAAAAGAGCCTTACCACTTCCTCCAGCCACAGTTTAACCAACGGGACCTCTGAATTTTTTCCAGAACATCAACACTAGCTTTTTTTCCTATGATAAACGCATAAGATAAGAATTGTCGTTGGTATTTATTAAATTGAGAAAGCTGAACAGAAACTCAGAGTATAATCAAAAGTGGGTCCAGCCTCAATTCTGTATTAAAGGAGAAGTTCGGTTTTTTACACTTTAAGCCCATTTTCTGTAGTGTCCAGGATGAAATCGAATGATCGACACCAAAAGTTTGACAATTGCTCCTGTCTCTGCTTTTTGGCTCATTTAGAATCAACCCCTGGCTGCTTTAGAATGGCTTGCATAGAGCATGTCCGATAATGTCCTTAAAACAACCTTAAACGTTCTTTTTTTAAAATATGCTACTCACCGTGTCGTCAGCGCTGTTCAATGACGTTCCAAAAAAATTTTGTGAAGAAAAAACGTTCCTGTAGTGTTTTATTTAGCATTTTGTAAATCCCATTGAGTTCTGTAGGAATAGTCAATATTCCCCTGCCACCGGAAACGGAAATGGGGCCTGTTTACACAGTTGTAGTCTTTTCGCTTCACTCTGTGTACTCCGACGTCAAGAATCAAGAATCCACCTTTCGTATTCCATTTTCAGAGTTTTTTAAAGTGTTTAACAGAGACGTTAGCACCTCGACGTCGGAGTACACAGAGTGAAGCGAAAAGACTACAACTGTGTAAACAGGCCCCATTTCCGTTTCCGGTGGCAGGGCAATATTGACTATTCCAACAGAACTCAATGGGATTTACAAAATGCTAAATAAAACAAGACAGGAACGGTTTTTCTTCACGAAACTTTTTTTGGAACGTCATTGAACAGCGCTGACGACACGGTGAGTAGCATATTTAAAAAAAAAGAACGTTTAAGGTTGTTTTAAGGACATTATCGGACATGCTCTATGCAAGCCATTCTAAAGCAGCCAGGGGGTGATTCTAAATGAGCCAAAAAGCAGAGACAGGAGCAATTGTCAAACTTTTGGTGTCGATCATTCGATTTCATCCTGGACACTACAGAAAATGGGCTTAAAGTGTAAAAAACCGAACTTCTCCTTTAAAACATATCTGATAATGAATATTGTTTTTAACGGTACTCTATTATCTCCTTCCAGTTCCATCTTTTTTTATACAGTGCCACCAAGCAGCAGCGATTTGGGATAAAAAAGAAAAAATTTATCCAAACTAGAAACTAGCTGTATTTTTATTAAGTGTGTTTACGGGCTGCTCATTCTGTTACAGGTTTATTTTAACACAACAAATACAAAAATATACAACACCAAAAAAAATTTAAAAAAGGAAAAGTGTCTCCTCCAGGAGCTGTGTGCTTTCCATTAAACCATTTTTCATTTTCAGTCTGTTTGATTTTGCCTATCCAGATAAACAACTGAATTACAATCAAATAACTATGTCTCATAAAACTGTAGGAATAACTGGAAAAGAGGAAACTATTCCCACTGGACTAAACAAGCAAGTTTACCTTGTTGGGTTTTGGCAGCCTTGTGTAGGTGGTTAACAATGTTACAAGCAGTGCAGGGTGTGCTTGTCTTTGCCCTCAGTCACCAGCACGAATATATCATTCATCTCTGTTTGTTGGACTGATGAATATCGGTTGGAAAATAGTTATATATCGCCCAACCTTAGTGTGGGATGTTAAAAAAGGTGTGGTCAAATGTAATAACTCAAAAATAGAAAAACAGTCAACAATAGCAAAGAGAACCACTGATCCATTTATTATTAACCTATTGGTACATAAACTTAAAAAAAAAAAATAGACTGTTTCTGTCAGTCTGATTTTGTTGGACATTGTAGATACAAACCAATATTTATTTTTTCCCTCATATTGAAACAATTTCTGTTTTCCCTGACTGATCTTTTTTGACTCAAATTAAAACTGGCACACTAAAATACTGATTCACTTTGGCGAGTGGAATTTATGGTCATTGTTAATAATACGATCAAGTACCATCATTAAACATTTGTATTTATATCCATTAAGATATATTATACCGAATGTTATATTTAAGAAGAATACGTCTCTATAAGGGAAATAAGTAATGTCAAGATTGAAATGATATAGATTACATCTAACTCATTTTATTGTATGTAAACAAACCTTTGGATTGTTTGAGAATGACTCACACAGCTTGTATCTGTATCATAAATATAATGTATTGACCAAATTTAAGAAATGTGTTGTTCTATAGGTTTTGGCCATATCCTCCAGCCCACTCTGACTGTGCTTATCTGTTAATGAACATGGGCTTTGCACCGTTGCAGTCTAAATTACTTGATCCATCACAGTGTTTTTTTGTTTTTTTTTACTGCTTCTTTAGGTCACAACAGAAGGGAAGCCAAAGATTGTTGACATTATTGATACAACAGGCAGTGGTGACGTGAACATGACCATGGCTGTGGAGCCCAAAGATGGAACCATCACTGGCCTCTCTGGAAGAACGCTCAAGGTTGGGAAACACCTTTTCAGATGTCAGGAGTTTTATTAGAGAAATGAATAACTTCAACTCTGAAAGTTTCCCTCACACAGTGTCCTACATCTAAGTTCACTTTTAGGTGATCTTGTGTCTCTAGCTGTGTCTTTTTATGTCTTTCAGATCCCGCCTGCCTGGGTCAACCCATCAGGGAAGTATCGCATTGGAGTTAAAAATGGCTATGAGTTCTTTCCCAAGGCTCTTAAGGAAAGAATACAGGTAGGGAGATGGGTGACAATGATTGCTGCTCTCGTTCTGTCAAAAGATGGGATGTTTTATTACTTTTGAGGTGTGCAAAGCGGAGCGTTAAACGCAAAGGGACTCACAGACACTAACATTGGTGTTATGTTAGCTGGTCACAAAAGGCTTTGCAGAGAAGTTGTCAAACCTTCAATGCAGATTGTAATCAATTTTAATGGAGATTTGGCAGGATGTTTGGTCGACACTAGCCACTTGAATACATCCTACCAATTTATATGTATTTTATTTGTTTTGTATGTTCCCCTGTTAGAAAGAGCGAAAAGAGAAGACGTGGGACCCAGCACACAGAGCAGCACTCGCTGAAGTCTGTCGCAAAACAGAAGAGTTTGATGTCGCTCATCCCACCCCCTCACAGGTCAGACCCACAAGCTCTAAATGTGCTCGTCTTGCTTGATGTGATATTTCTCCTGTCTGTGTTTAAAGCATCCTTCATCTTCACCTCAGATAGAAAAGTTGCAGAAGGAAGACCTACAGTGTCAGTCAGAGCTGCTGGCATCTCTAGAAAAGAAGTACAGTGATCCGGGCCCGGTATATGACTGCGTGCTTTGGCATGATGGCGTCACATGGAAGTAATCAAAAGATTCACCTCTGTTTCTCCCCCTCATCTTCTACTTAGGTAAACTCATAATATAATACCATTCCCATCGGTTTTGTTGTTGTTTTTTTCTTCAGGGCGGTAGTAGACACGTCCGAGTGTGGAGATCTGTCTCAGTGCACTGTCTTGGGCTCATACAAAGAAAAACAAGAGTATGCCACTTTAGGAAATGCTGAGATGTTGAACTACTCTGTTAATATATATGACGAGGGAAACACCCTGTGCATCGTTACCAGTGGAGGTGAGTTTTCACAAAAATACAATCCGAAGCCTTTATACCTCTTTCTCAATTTGAGTGCCTAATGTTTGCCAGAGAAAGCAGATCTGTAACTTTACTCTTGAATTTCCAAAAAGGCTTCCGACATCTTCTATATACTGCATGTTCAACAACAGAAAGTTAAAATATTGCATGAAAAAACTATCCGTTCAGCTTGGTTTAATAGATCCAGGTCTATAAAGATGGAAATCTGCTAATTTCCTCTCATTACGTATGATTATAACTCCAATTGACGTCTCTCGTCTGAACTTAAAGGGGCTCATGGGACACATGTGGCAAGCATTGCAGCGGGTCACTTCCCAGAAGAACCAGAGAGAAACGGTGTGGCTCCAGGGGCCCAAATCCTGGCTCTGAAGATTGGAGACACACGCCTCAGCACCATGGAAACTGGCACCGGCCTCATCCGAGCGGTATTCCTTCAAAAAGATACCATATTATTAAGGCTGCAGGATGTCTTGCATGTTAGCATGCAATGTCTCCAACATTGCAACCAAAAACATTGTTTTGTTTTCTATAAAATCATAATCTTAATGCTAACTAAATATTTGGTCAGTTTCATGGACTCTTGATGCTCTTTAGTCGCTGTGATGGTTAAGATTCCAGAGAGTGATTGGAGTACAATGAAGGAGAAAAAGATCAAAATAATAACAAACAAACTCTTATTTTACCTGAGTTTTTTTCATTTTAAAGTTTGTAATTCGTTTCTCTCTTTTGTGCCAAAGATGATTGAAGTAATCAACTACAAGTGTGACCTGGTTAATTATAGCTATGGGGAAGCCACTCACTGGCCTAATTCAGGGTAAGAATAGGTTTGCTGTCCTCAGATTTTCCTGGCATATATTTTGTCGTAGCACCCTGTTACTGAGTCCTATTGGGTCTTTCCTTCCAGGAGGATCTGTAAAGTGATCACAGAAGCGGTGCAGAAGCACAACGTGATTTTTGTGTCGAGTGCAGGAAATAACGGCCCCTGCCTCTCCACAGTGGGGTGCCCAGGAGGAACCACCAGCAGTGTTATAGGTACATGCTCTAAAGGCACCTGAATGTCACAGATGGTGCTTGCGCTTCAATTTCCGCCATCCTCTTTTTTAGGAGTTGGAGCGTATGTGACTCCAGACATGATGGTGGCTGAGTATTCGCTGAGAGAAAAGCTGCCCCCTAACCAGTACACATGGTCATCCAGGGGCCCCAGCACTGACGGGGCCCTCGGGGTCAGCATCAGTGCTCCAGGTGGGGCCATTGCATCCGTACCCAACTGGACCCTCCGAGGTACCCAGCTGATGAACGGCACTTCTATGTCCTCGCCGAACGCCTGCGGAGGCATAGCGCTTGTACTGTCAGGTGTGTGTTCTTCTGAGTTGTGTGTGATGTGGGATAGAGGACAGTGTGTGTGGGTGAGAGAGACAGAGCTGAAGGTTCTGTGTTATTTCTGCCTGATAAAGGTCTGAAGCAGAGTGGGATCAGTCCCTCTGTTCCTGCTGTGAGGAGAGCGCTGGAAAACACTGCTCAAAAGGTCGACGATATTGAAGTTTTTGCACAGGGTCATGGAATAATTCAGGTATTTCTGCAGGGGTTTGTTTCAATTTTTTTCCTCATTTAATGTTAATGTTTTTTGTGGAATATTTCACGTAATTATTATTTTGTCTCTCAGGTGGATAAAGCTTTAGACTACCTCACTCAACACGCCTCTCTGCCTACAAGTCACCTGGGCTTCTCTGTCAGTGTGGGTTCACAGAGAGGCATCTACCTCAGAGAACCAACCGAGGTTCTTGCACCTTCTGATCACGTGGTCGGTATCGAGCCCATCTTCCCAGAGGAAACAGGTAACAAAGCATAACTTTGTGGTTCTGCTCCAATTTACTTATATTTATTGTTTCCATTTGTTTAAAGATATCTTTTGTAATTTTTTATAGACAACTCGGAGCGAATCTCCTTGCAGCTCCACTTGGCCCTCACATGTGCCGCCCCTTGGGTCCAGTGCCCCTCCCATTTGGAGCTGATGAACCAGTGTCGGCACTTTAATGTCCGAATCGATCCTCTGGGACTGAGGGAGGGAGTCCACTACACGGAGGTGCAGAGATAGGAAAAAGAAGAAGGAAAATTAAAATGTGTTTGTAGATTAATGACCTTGCCTTTGTTTTTTCCAGGTTTGTGGCTATGATACATCAGTGCCCACATGTGGCCCGCTGTTTAGAGTTCCGATTACGGTCATCATCCCTGCCAAGTGAGCTCACAATGAGAAGTTTTTATTTCTTTGTATTTTTTATTTTTCTGGGATGGTTTAGACTCTTATATCCTTGTCCCTCTTTGCTCTGATAGGGTGACCGATAGCCGTAATCAGGAAGTGAGATTCTCAGATGTCCACTTTAGACCGGGACAGATCAGACGCCACTTCATCACTGTTCCTCAGGGAGCCTCCTGGGCAGGTCAGTGAAATATGCCATTTCTGATGACAGTTATGCAAATTTTTATTATTCTGGATTAGTTTTTTTTTTTTATTATTATTTGAATTAAGCTGTTTTGAAAATGAAAGGAAACAATCTAAAAGCCCCCAGGGTTCTATTTATTTATTTTTTTAAGGTTTTAATCTGAAGCGATTTTGTTTGAGGTTATTTGAGCTGTAATGGATCTGGCCCAATCTCAGAGAGATTGTAAACGGATCCTTATAGTTGGTTATGGTGTTCATGTCTGTAGGATATGACACCATGGCAGCAGATATTAACAGTTTAGAATTTCACTAGAGATCTGTGTTAGGTTTGGTGCTGGTTTTCATCCAAACAATGTCTTGTTTTTAGTGGAAATGGATCCCACATTACAGAAGGCTTTTCCTTGGCTTTCTGTGTTCTTTATAGAAGTTATTTTCAAGGCTCCTATTTTATCTAAATAGGCCACATCTTATGTTCCCTGGGAAGTTGAATAAACATCATATGCCTAACATACCATGTAAACATTCGCTATAAGTTCCTAAAAATATCATCGCTAGTTTCAGTAATGATTACAGCCATGTTCTCACATTGAAATCACAGTAAAATCTGAATGCTAGCACAGCGTTAGCTTGTGCTTTAATGAGCTCCAGCGTCTTCCTAGAGCTTTTCATGCCTTGTCCCTCTTAGCATCCAATATTTGTTTTACACTTTTTCACACTTGATCTTTGTCTTTTCTTCTTTCTTTTCTCACCTTCACTCAGTATCACTGACTTGCTGCTATTCATTGCTTTGTTTTTCACTGTTTGGATGAATGCACAATATCTTTTGTCATGTGGTTTACTTGCAAAAATATACAGAGTTTCTGTTGGTCATTAAAGTCTTTAAATTAATTAAGTCGTTTTTTTTTTTCATTATTATTAAGGCCTTAAGTAGTATTAAAATTGATTGACTGCGATTACCATGTTTTCCTTTTCCTGAAACGTATTTTTAAAATAGGCATATTAAAATCCCCTGAGTTCTGCTTTTGGAGACACTGTGCAGGCTGGTCATGAAGCGAGGCTCTGCTTTGTAGCCATGTTTTTTTTGTTTTGTTTTTTTACTTTTCATAATCAGTCCCAGTCAAATGTGGGACATTGTTTCGGTTTGTGGGGCTCAGAGACAATCGGGGACAAATCTGCACAAATTGGGTCTGCTCACCCTATGAGTAGCAGGAGGTTTTCTACACACACTGCAGTCAGTGTGCGATGGGAAAACAATGGGATCTGAGATCAAAAAGTCGGACACAGCCGGTGTGACTCGGGCTTAATCTAATAAACTATTAATCGACAATTAATTGCAAGTTTGATTATCTGGTCCCTAACAGATGATAAACCATACTTATTTGTTTTGGATTCAGATCCAGAATGCTTTGAAAACCCTAATTGAAATAAAAAAGGTCAGAGAATTGAATAAACATGCTGTGGTTTCATGATAATCTGCATAAAGCTCTTTTCATGGTTTCCCCACAGAGGTCACTTTGACTTCGCATTCAGGAGACGTCTCATCCAAGTTTGTTCTTCACGCGGTGCACCTGGTCAAACAGAGGGCCTACAGGGCTAATGAGTTCTACAAGTTCTCCTCCCTACTAGAAAAAGGTTCCCTAACAGAGGCTTTCCCGGTGCTGGTATGTATTTAATACAGTTTGTTTTTTTTATATCACAGTCACCTAAAAACGCTCTGGAATCAGCAGAAAACCATCCGTTTTTATTTTCTGTGTTCCTCCCTGCTCTGCAGTCAGGCAGGGTTGTAGAGTTTTGCATAGCACGATGGTGGGCGAGCCTCGGGGATGTGACGGTGGACTACATCATCTCCTTCCATGGCCTCAGTGTTACTCCTTCTCCCTTGCACATTGTGAGAACAATTTTCACACATAACCAGTAGTAGATAAACAGAAATGGTTCTGTTTTGTTTTTGACTGGGATTCCTCTTTGTGCAGCACGCCTCTGAGGGAGTGGTTAGTTTTGATGCGTCATCACCCATGAGATATGAGGAGGTGTCCCCCACTGTCACCCTTAAGTCGTGGGTTCAGCCTCTGAGGTGAGCTCACAGGGGATATCAAACAGTCTGTTCATCTTAAAGTGCTGTTTTTTAATTATTTGTTTCATAATTAGGCCTCTAAATTCAAAGATAAAAGCTTTGGGAGCGCGGGATGTTCTCCCTAATAACAGGCAGCTCTATGAAATTGTCCTCACCTACAGCTTTCACCAGGTATTGGCCAAATTTCTGCACATTGGAGCTTAGAAATCTCTTGTTTTATTAATATATAACATTTTTTTTCTTCGTAATTAGCCTAAAGGAGGGGAGGTTACGCCCAGTTGTCCGATGCTGTGTGAGCTTCTGTATGAGTCTGAGTTTGACAGTCAGCTATGGATGCTTTATGACCAGAACAAGAGACTGTTGGGTTCAGGGGACGCCTACCCACACCAGGTAAGACATATAATGATTATACATTACAAGCTGTTGAGATTTGGCCAGATATCAATCAGATTTCTTTTTTCTCTCCCAGTATTCCCTGAAGCTAGAAAAGGGGGATTACACAGTACGCCTGCAGGTTCGCCATGAGCAGTCTAGTGAGCTGGAACGCCTGAAAGATTTGCCCTTTGTGGTTTCTCATCGTCTGTCCAACACCATCAACCTGGATGTTTACGAGTCGCACCGTGCCGCTCTTATGGCAAAGAAGAAGGCGAACTCTCTTACTTTGTGTCCAGGAGCCACGCAGCCTTTCTATGTCACAACCCTGCCTGACGACAAGTGAGTCGGACGAGCAAAGCTGATTTCCCTTTGCTGACTCAACTATACCATTGAAGCTTCATTTCTGTTGATCCTTTAAAAGCGTCATATCTGACTTTTCCAACATTTTCCAACTTTTTCAACAGTTATGGCATGTTTTATTTTTTCCTCCCATCATTTATCAGTTGTACTTTACTTTTCAGGATCCCCAAGGGTACGAGTCCAGGATGTTACCTCTCAGGCTCTCTTGTTGTGTCTAAAAGCGAGTATGGCAAGAAAGCAGTGAGTAGCTCTGTTTTTGCTTCAGCCTTATATTTCCAAATGTGTTCTTCGGGACCAAAAGCTGCACTGGGTTTCAGTTTTTCCTGGTGAGAAGACAGGAATAATAAATGAGACCCCCCCCATACAAGATCAGGGTGGCTGACTGAAACAGACTAGTGACCAGCTGCAGTTTAACGGGTCCTGCAGAACCAGCCTGGCCAACCCTGTCATCCTGTGTTAGTTTTTCTTTCTTAGTCATACTGACTCTGACATTTGCTCTTGCTCCTGGATCTGATTGCTTTTGGGTTCTTTGGTTCTTTCTCTGTATTTTTTTGTCCTTGTTGGGAAATGGACCTGTATGAGATTCTGACTAATGGTTCTTTATCAATCTGATTTCTTCAGAACTTAACTTTCAGGGACCTTTAATCTAACAAGGCAATTTTTGAGTCCTCCTTATTGTGGCTCTGAAAGCCAGGTACTTTTTGTAGATTATGCTCCCTTAGACTGAGCAGGTCCTCATTCTGAGGAAACTCATCTCTACCCACTGCAAAAGCTAAGTCCAGAATCGGGTGTTTGAAAAACAAAAAGATGAATGCAGAGAAATACAGCACAATTCTGAAGCGCTTATTTGTTAAAATCCACAAACTATTAATCCAAACGGCGATAAGGTCTAGCTACATTGAAAAGAAATGCACTGAACTTAAAAAATAAACTCCAAAAAGGAATTGAAGAAAGCTCTAATCGTCAATTACAATCCGTTATCTGAAGTAATACTTTAAGTGTCATGGTGGTTTAGTTCTGAAGCTAAAGTAAAAAAATCCCTTACTGATAGGTTTGGTACCACCTATAGATCTTACAGCAATGTGTCACTGATAAACGTTTTGCTTGAAGAAGAAAACACAGAACTAAGGTTAAACTGAGAAAATGAGCAGCAGAGGAAAAACTGAAATAAAATGCTGTCGATGTATTAAAAGCTAAAAATCTTGTCCTCCTGCTGCCTTTAGTTCAGGGAACGTCTTATAAGTCCTCCCTTCCCACAAAGGTTTTTAGACACAATTATTTGCATTTGCAATATAATCACAATAAAAAAAGAAGCAATTTCTAAAAACAAAATTACTTGATTTTTGGTCAAGTTACATTTTAATTGTAAATAGGGCTGAAACTGATTATTTTGCAAATTGATTAATCCAAGTTGATTTTTTTTTTTTTTTCAATTAATTTATTAATAATCGGATAGCCAAAGATTTCTTAAAGATTTTTTATGAAGTTAAACCAGGTGAAACTAAAACGTTTCCAGTTGAGTTCTGGATAGAGCATATTGACAAAAAAAAAACTTTTTTTTTTTTTTAATGCAAATGTTTAGATTTTTTTTTCTTTCTTACAATTTTGATATAGTTACTGCTCTAAGTGGGTTGCTTTCTTGGCTAAAGGCATGTTTTAAAGTCTCTATACTCCATTTAATGATGAATCGATTACTAAATTGGTTGATAATTATTTCAGTAATAGACTAATCACAATTAATCTGATTAGTTGTTTCAGCCCTAATTGTACCTCTTAAGTTTAATTTAATGAGTTGCAGCTAGTGTTCAAATTCTTGCATGAAAGCAAGACGTAAGCACTTTCTAAGGCAAACGTAAAATCCTCTAACATGAGGTCTAGAAAAGATGCCACTGAAAGCCATGAAAACGATAAAACTGAAATAATTCCTATATGCTTAATGCTTGCATATATGCTTGTGATCAATGTAGAGGAAAATCAAAATAAAATCGTAATCAAATTTTTGTGAAAAAAAAAAAAAAGAACAAAAAATGAAACACAATTTTTCTATTTTTGGCAACATCGCCCAGCCCTAGCGATAATGGGGTATGGCGGTGAAGCATACAGCTGACCCATGCTTGAATCCTGGCTCTTAAACCTTTGCTTCATGTCCTCCCCCTTTTTCTTCAAATCTAATAAAGGCCACTAATATCACAAAACTAATATAAAAAAAGGCAATCAGTTATATTGGAAATATTTTTTTCTTAATTTCCTGGCAGATTTGATTTAAGTGTAGTGCTCTCTCACGTCTGTCTGTTTATTTTAACTCCTGTAGGGACACAAGTTATTGCGGGTGAAAACACCTTAATTGGAGTTTGGGGCTTTGTTATGAAACATGCAGCTGTGATTCTACTGCTTTGATTATTACAAAATCCACATGACATTTCCAGTGTTATAATTACAGTTCCCCCACTGTTTTCTTTAAGCTTTTGTTTATCAACCACTAAAATATATGCGTGCTGTAAATTAGAATTTATTTTAAAAATTCCAACTTTCTAAATAGATTATGGACTAAAAGATCATAAATGGATGGTACTTAAGGATTATTGCATCTTATCAGTTCTTGGCATTTATGTTGTGTTGATAGATGCTGTTTGATATATAATGCAGCTCCAATAACCCTCAACTTGCTAAACGTGTCACTTTCATCTGTGCATCTTTACCTTAGTTTTCTAAGTACAAGTGGGAGAAAAATATATATTTGTAGGTTTTGTTTTTGTCTGACAAAAGAAACAAATCCGATTTTTTTAACATGAGAAACAGCAAGGACTAAACGGTAAAGTCTTTATTTTTGTGTTGTTTGTTGTTATATCCAAAAAATGAGGCCCCCGAGGTTCTGTCTGAAGATGAAAGACAAATAAAAAAGAAGATCCATTTCTGGTTGTTTATGTTATCTGTTCCTTACTGTGTGTTATTTTGACCACCAGGCGCTGGCCTCTGCACACCGACAACGAAAATTTAAAAAGGTACTGAATGAGTTAGAAACACTTGACACAGAGCGCCTGCTGTTCTCCTTACTTAGGGATATTATTTCTAATTTTCTATAAAATATTTGATCTGTCATGTCAAAGCATGTTAATGTAATGAAATATAAAAAAAGCATAAAAGGGCTTGCTGATGGGTGTTTCGCGTCACTTCCTATTTTCGTTGCTGCAGATCTGCGTTGTGGATTGGGTTTCTCACACACTCAAGTTGATCTTGATTATCTTTTCTGTGATATCTGAGTTAGTCTAACTGAACATAAGTATGTTTAAAAACATTTTCTACTGCTGCACCTTTCTATTAGGGACTCTTGGTGTTTACGTGATTTTTGTTTTTTGGTTGCAACGCCTTGCTAGCCTAACATTAGCTTTGACCAACTGTTGCTTCCTTCTTTGTTTCCCCAGATCTTCTTCAGTCTTTTCCTCCCTCCTGTTCTCTTTGTCAGACACAGAGTAGGTTTACAGACACGTAGTGATCCTCCATTCTGAGCAGCCAATCATGAATGGATGACTGGAAGTGTGACAATATGTGTAACAGAAGTGTTGTGCTAGATTCTTGCCCATTGATCTCCACCAACAACATAGAAGTTTCTAACCTATTTTCATCTCTCAGCAACACACCCACTGAGAAACTGACTGGTAATTAGCAGCTTCATAATCAGGTAGACCCGAACATGGCCCTATAGACACCAAGGACCATAGTTGAATGTTTTCCAGGGGCCAGAACGGGCCACAACAATTTCTACTTGAAATTTCTAATTTATAACAAGGCTAAGTACAGTTAGATTCTTATTAAAACTGGCTTTAATGACTCCCAGTTATTCCAAAGAAGGCCCCTTTCCTGATTTGTGTAGTGATGACATGTTTAAACTTTTGGGAAAAGCCTGGCCGGATACATTATTCATCCCACTGTGGACAGTGCGGGTCCTCTTCATAGAAAATATATTAATTCTCCAAAAGTATTACAGCCAGGCTCCAGATCGGGAAGCAGATTCTCTACCGTTACCCACTCATTATTCAGGCAGTTTTGCTCATGGCCAAAATCAAATAATTGGAAAATAATCTTAAAGGAGTAAATCATTATAATTTCAATAGAATTCATAATTTAAACTCAAATTAAGAAGAAATTTAAACCAAAAGTCTTTTATTGAACACAAGACCTTTCCTTAAAGACAGCTAGTTAACGACTTGATTTGTGATGATTAGATTTATTTATCCTTGTTCTACAGAAACCTGGCTAGAGCAAGAGGGTTATATTAGTATAAATGTGTCAGCTCCTTCTATTCCTTTAATTCTAATAAAATTCTATAAGATAAAAATTCTGAGTAAGTAGGAGTAGCAACATTCTCTAGTTTCATCTAGAGCTATGTGCTTTTAAGCACAATGCTATGAAACTGGAGAGAACATGGTGCTTTACACATGTCTAACAGCTCATCATACTACTGAGATAGCACTGAGACAGCACTGAGACAGCACTAGTTGAAGTCACCAGTAACATTCTCATGGCCTCAGATAATGGGCTTTTATCTGTACTTGTATTGTTAGATCTCATTGGTGCATTTGATACAGTTTATCATATTCTTTTGACAAGGCTTGAATGTTTGGTGTTAATTGAGGGAACTGCACTAGACTGGTTTAAATCTTCTTTTTTCCAGCAACTTCCAGTTTGTTCATAATGATGATAAATATTGAAGATCCATGGTTACAGGTGCAGTACCACTGGGGTCAGTGTTGGTGCCAAATCTATTGATTATTTTTCCAATTGGTAAACTAGTCAGAGAGATTGGGGTTAATTTCCACTGTTATGCTGATGATACTCTGATGTTCTGCTTTTGAATTCAGACTCTTTAAAGGAGAAGTTCGGTTTTTTACACTTTAAGCCCATTTTCTGTAGTGTCCAGGACGAAATCGAATGATCGACACCAAAAGTTTGACAATTGCTCCTGTCTCTGCTTTTTGGCTCATTTAGAATCACCCCCTGGCTGCTTTAGAATGGCTTGCATAGAGCATGTCGGATAATGTCCTTAAAACAACCTTAAACGTTCTTTTTTTAAAATATGCTACACACCGGGTCGTCAGCGCTGTTCAATGACGTTCCAAAAAAAGTTTCGTAAAGAAAAAACGTTCCTGTAGTGTTTATTTAGCATCTTGTAAATCCCATTGAGTTCTGTAGGAATAGTCAATATTCCGCTGCCACCGGAAACGGAAATGGGGCCTGTTTACACAGTTGTAGTCTTTTCGCTTCACTCTGTGTACTCCGACGTCGAGGTGCTAACGTCTCTGTTAAACACTTTAAAAAACTCTGAAAATGGAATACGAAAGGTGGATTCTTGATTCTCGACGTCGGAGTACACAGAGTGAAGCGAAAAGACTACAACTGTGTAAACAGGCCCCATTTCCGTTTCCGGTGGCAGCGGAATATTGACTATTCCTACAGAACTCAACGGGATTTACAAAATGCTAAATAAAACACTACAGGAACGTTTTTTCTTCACGAAACTTTTTTTGGAACGTCATTGAACAGCGCTGACGACACGGTGAGTAGCATATTTAAAAAAAAGAACGTTTAAGGTTGTTTTAAGGACATTATCGGACATGCTCTATGCAAGCCATTCTAAAGCAGCCAGGGGTTGATTCTAAATGAGCCAAAAAGCAGAGACAGGAGCAATTGTCAAACTTTTGGTGTCGATCATTCGATTTCATCCTGGACACTACAGAAAATGGGCTTAAAGTGTAAAAAACCGAACTTCTCCTTTAAGCAAAAAGTTGTTTAAAAAGTCACTTCATTTAGATTGCATTGTATTGGCTTGTAGTGATAACGTAAAAAATATAAATTCATATATATGTTTGGAAAGATATGATTAATAGAATATTTTTGAAAGGAATATCACAAGGCTGAAATGAAGAGTTGCTGGGATATGTGTTTAAAATCTTACAAAAAAAATTAAAAAACAAAAAAAAACTTTAATACCATTATTTTGTTGCATTCTGTCACTTAAAAAGAAAAAAAAAAAAACATTTAGAAAATGATGCTGCATTGGCTGACAATGCAGACAGGAGTAAAACATCTGACGTTTCCATTGATACGATTTAGTCACCATCATAGTCTGAGTCAGAAGAACATCAGGATCATCAGGTAGCTCAGCATCAGTATAGAGCGCAGCTGTGTTAGTGCTGCTAGGGGAGCTGACAGTACAGTGCTGCAGTAAAAATAGGAAATAAAAATAAGATATAAAGGTGAGTCTGAGCAGCACGGAGGAGTGGCAACGGACACACCTGATTATTTTTTTAGAACTTGAAGATACCACCTTGTTTGTTATTTATTTCCACCTTACAATCTGCTTCCAATATGTCTTATGCTTTTACTTTTGAGATTTCTGTTTTTAGTTATTAAATAATAAAATCCAAAAGAGGGGCTGCGCACTATATGAAACAATTTGACATCTGAATTATAAAAGGAGCTTAAATTCGTCCAACTTTATATCAAAACAAATCTAAAATTACAAATTTCAAATAAAGTACAATACAAAAATTGAAATGCTGTTGTGTTAATGTACTTTTAATGATGTGCAGCTGTGATGTTATTCTTAGAAATGACACTTTCTTTATGGGCGGAACTTGTTTCCTTATTGTTTTATCTGCTTTCTAGGAAATAAAATCAGCACTATTGGCCTTTGTATCCTATCTTTTGTTTTGATCATACTTATTTCAGTTCATGTATTATTTCACATTACCTGCTAAGCCTTGATCCGTTTGGCATTAATATTTTCTTAACGATATTTTTAAATCAGATGTTAATACAATAAATTATCCTGGAGTTCCTTTTTGTTAACAATTGAACCTGACTTTGGACTGTCTAAATCTAACAAAGAACTATGCCCATTTTGTATTTTATTATTTCTTTAATCACAATTCAGTTCAATTTATACAATACAATACTGCTTGATTTATTATCTTTTTTTTTATATGTTTTTCTTCCACTTTATGTATTTCATAGAAATGCATGTAACATGTAATTTAAATTCCATATAAAACATGAGTCTAGAATTTAACTCTTTCTTCTTCAGAGTATGCCAAAAGTAATAAATATCTTGTCCAGGATAAAAAAAAAAAAAAAAAAAAGTCCATGAATGTATAACTTCATGGCTGGACTGTTTTAATTATTTTGTATCAGGATGTCCAAAAAATTCAGTAAAAGGTTTTCACCTTATTCACAGTATTGCAATTAGATATCTTATGAAAATTAAAGAGAGATTGTAACTCACAATTTAGCTTACCTTTATGGCTCCCTGATCCACTGACGAAAATAAGTATTTGAACACCCTGCTATTTTGCAAGTTCACCCGCTTAGAAATCATGAAGGGGTCCTTCTCCTTTTCACATATAACGACCTCTATATCAGAGTCCATCTTGTCTCAGAGATCTGATTTTACCATATGTTTATGATGAAATACTTTCCTGTTAATTTACACGTTCACTTGTGGTTCCTCGAATTTCAAAAATAACAACTGGAGGCCGATATTTTAGTTGTCCGGCTCTTCTACTGTGGAACCAACTTTCAGTTTTAGTCCGTGATGCAGACACCCTATCTATTTTTAAGGCTAGGCTACAACGCTTATTTTTTGATCAGGTTTTTTGTTGGAGTGGTTCTGGTTATGGTAAGCTATTCCTATAGTTATGCTGCTATAGGCTTAGGCTGCTGGAGGACATGGGGACCATTTCGCATCATTCTGCTTCTATTCTCAAATTTTGCATTGTTCGTTCAGTTTCAACTTAGTATTTTGCTCTTTCAGGTCATAGTAGCTACATCTAGCCTTGTGCTTTGTTTAGCTGTAACACCATCCTGGAAGCAGACATCAGGTGGGCTGCTGCTGTCAATGACTTCAGTTTTTCTCTCCTAGACATGGGCTCAGCTTTTACTATGAGCAATTCTGTGCTCTCAGAAGTCTGCTTATCTGTTCCTATAGTCAGAGCCCCCTAGCTAGTTTTACTGTTACATTTTCTAACAGAATGTATTCATGGATCAGTGCTATGTTCCTTTTGAGTGTCTGCTTCTGTCCTCTTTAACTACAGGCAGCCACAGCCTCCTTGTTCTGCTGGAGGTTTCCTCTTGTTTCTCCACCGTTGTTGCATGCATGCTTGGTGTGAGGGAATTTCTGCAGGGTCAACGACACAATGCTAGTGAATGTTTACTGTTGCCATATGCTCATCCAGTAGGAATCAATCCTGCTAAGTCAATGATTGGATGCAGTCAGCTGGATTTTCTAAAATGGAAAACTTTTCACCAATCTGACTGGAGGATTTGATTGAACTGTCTCTATGAAATGGCTTGAGATAAAATGTAGCTACATGTAGATCAACTGAATTAAATAAAAACTCATGGGTTATGAAAATGATTTATGTCTAATGATCTAAGGAACAAACACCTTACCTCTAGACACAGCGTTAACAGGAGGAGACTGAGCTTGGGAGAAGTTGGTTTTATTCTAACTTTATTTTGTTGTGTCTTCATTTAGGATGTTGTCCCAGTCATCTACCACCTAATTCCTGCTCCCAACAAATCTAAAAATGGTGGGAAGGAGAAGGACAAGGATGGAGAGAAAGAAAAAGACGTTAAAGAAGAGTTTGCAGAAGCCATCAGAGACCTAAAGATTCAGTGGATGACAAAGTGAGCAGTGTTTCTCTCAGGTTTCATACAATCTCTCCTCTGCATTCCTGTCGTTTATGTCATATCTTGTCTCCATAGGTTGGAATCGAGCTCTGTCTATGATGAGTTGTTAGAAAATTACTCTGATTACCTTCCACTGCATGTGCAAAGACTACATCAGCTGGACTCTGAGAAGGTACACACCAGGAGAAAGTGTTGATAAATGGTGTTAAGTCAAAGCTCTGCAACCATCTTTCTTCATACTCTTATCTCTCCTGGTTTGTGTTCAGGAACGAGTAAAGCGCCTCAAAGAGGTGGTGTCAGCAGCAGACATCGTTATGTCCCATATCGACCAAACAGCATTAGCTGTGTATCTCACCATGAAGACAGACCCCCGTCCAGATGCCGCCTCCATCAAAACGTGTGTATCACTGAAAGATGGGTTTTCATCCTCATCAAATGAAAAGACACGCAGATGGAGGCAACATGCCCCGCCTCCTTTCAAACACTGCTGACTGGTGACGGCATCTGTTTTTCAGTGACATGGAGAAGCAGAAGTCGTCTCTTCTGGATGCTCTGTGTAGAAAAGGCTGCGCTCTAGCTGACCAGCTCCTCCTGCCGTCCACGCTGCAGGGCGCCGCCGGTGCTGTAGCTACAGAGCAGGCTGCTGCAGGAGAAGAGGAAGTCGGGGAGCAGATGGCCAGCAGCTCTGACGACGCCCTGGAGAACATATCAAACGCACTGATGGATACATTCTGGGAGGTGCAGAAGTGGGCAGAGCTGACTGACTCCAAGGTTAGAAGTCATAATCAGTAGTGGTTGAAAGTTTACATAATCTTCCATTAAAGACAAAAAAAAAAAAAACAATCAGCTGCCTGTAATACATAATGAAATCGACAAAAGTAGTAATCAAGATAGTAAAAAATGGAACTCATAATCTGTAAAGATTCTCTGTCTTCCAGGTCAAGCTTGAAAAGTTCAGTTTAGACAACTGGATGTGAAGTTTTCTAGAAGACATTTTTTCTCTAATCCATGAGATCATGACATTGACTTAAAACATTTTTAGAAGCATCTGCACTGATCCGTCTATTAATATTGTGTGCCTTTCTCCCCCTGTTCCACTCGTGAACAGGACCACACAATACTTGAGCTCCTCCTCTTTAGGCAGGAACTCTCCTCCTACCTGAAAGTAGTAGGGAACCTTTTTAAAGTCAGGAACTATGGCATCAGGCTTTGACGAGCTGATCTTTTTTCCCCCGGCCTTAAGATGCATGTCGACCATGTCAGGCAAGGACCGGAGGAGATCCTCATTCCTCCCTGTCTCATCCCTCATTGTCTTCAGTCTGGTTGATAAGCAGTCTGATCCAGAGCATTCAGTCTCTGCTTCCACCGGTGAAGGTGTTACAGCCACATTCAGTAGATCTTCGGGTTGTTTCCTTTATGGCTGGACAATTAAATGTCTTGGCATTATAATCACAATTTAGGAAAACGCAATTTTTAAATTGCAGAGGTGCTCAGTTTTTTCACAATACATTTAACAAAAGAAAGACACTTGTATTTCTCCCTCCATCCTCTAGGTGGCAGTAATACGATTAAAGTGGGTATGCTTTCACACCTAAAGGAACAGACAATTGCAGTTAGCACCTAGATCTATTTATTGAAGTAGAAGAAAGAACTTTTTCATGCAAATGTTACAGTAAAGTCATGTAACACTGGGTTCTGGACAAGCAGGTTTTTAAGGTCATTAAAAAAAAACTGAAACCCTGGAGTAAAACACAGACATGCTTGTGCTTATTGCAAAGGAAAATCGCAATAAAATCCCAATATCGGTTGAAAATAATCGCAACTTTCATTTTTGGCAAACTCGTTCAGCCCTAGTTTCTTCCACCAATGTCCTCAGTCAAGTTCAGCGGTTCCCCACTCTCACTGTAGAAAGTGTTGGGAAGCTCTACTTCCACCTCCTGATGAGCTGAATAGTTAGCCAAGATCCCTTCAAAGCGGTCACTTGCCTCCTTTTTTGACCATCATAAGGTCTTTTAAACTGCTCGTTGTCTGACCGCCACCCAGAGGCTGTTTGCTTTGATCGCTCCCACCAGGGGGATTTAAGCCTCTGGGATCATCTGAGCAATTAAACGTTCAAAAAGATGAACTCTATTAAACTCAGTGTCGTGTCCAGGAATCCTGCATGTTTATATAACTATGGCGTCCTCCATTTATCTAAGATGAGCTAGAAGGACATCTTGGAAATGTTTTGTTGTGTTCAGAATTTATCTAGACTGTTAAACTTTACTTTTAGCTATAGTCTCATGGTATAGTTGTTCTCTGCAATTCTTAAAACACAATCTCTGAATACAGCCTCACAATAACCTGTGTATTATACAAGGTGTGTTGTGCAACATGCATGACTCATGGAAAGCCCACGGTCTCTGTATCTGTAATGTTTAGTCACTTTTAAGCACTACAGTGGTGTTTGAGTCAGAATCATAACTGTTCAATTGAAGCATCAGTGGTTTCTGTTAATGTCCTGTTCACTTCTCAGCTGACCGTTCTCTCTCGGTTGTGGGGATATGCTCTATGTATGGCTCTGATCTGAGCACTGCAGACAGATTTTAACTACAGGCATGAATAGTCATTAACAGTTTTCCTCTTACAGGAAAGTAAGAGAACCTCTTGCAAAAATAACACTTGGATTTAACATTTAAATATAATAAACAGAATCCTCTCCACAATTTGGTGGAGATTAAAAAGGGTTGAATTTCTGAGGTTTTGGTGAATTGAAATAGATGAACTGAAAAAGCATGCCTGTTCTAGAAGCTTTTGACATAACAGGCTTTGTTTGTCGTCCTTTTCTGTCCTCTCTGAAGGTTTTGATGTTTTCATACAAGCATGCTCTGGCAAACAAGATGTACGGCCGAGCCCTAAAATATGCCTCTAAGATTGTTGAGGAGAAGCCCAGCAAGGATAACATGAAGAACTGCATCCAGGTATGAAGAGCTATGGTTGCTGATCCTTGGTATTTATAAACATGTTTTCTATGGTTGAAAATCATGGCCTGTGTTTCTATTTTTCAGATCATGCGCCACCTCGGCTGGATGCACTGCGCCGCTTTCAGTGAGAACTGGCTTCCTGTCATGTACCCAGCAGATTATACCCCCTTCTAGGCACAGCCATGGGACGGCATGGCCTCGCACGGTCCACTAAAGGACAGTTTTGATATCAGGGTCACATGGTCTATGCATCTGACCAGCCAGCTGCCTCCTGACACCTTTTCTTTGAAGGCACATGTGGGTGAATACCAACATTGGAGCTGACCTGGAGCCTAGATATTTTTGATGCATGCCAAACTTTGTAAGGTGATGGTTTTGAATTGAAACTTTTTATTAATATCTGAAATATCAGTTAAAAATATGTAAAGCTATAATCAATGGCCAGCATCAAGTTGTTTCCTTCTTCAGTTTTTTTTTTTTTTTGTCAGCTACAAATTTGTAGGCTGAAGTATCGACTCCTCCCAGAACGCACAACTCTTTATCATTTTAGAATCTTTTTTTTTCACCTGCAAATACTGTTAAAACTGGCATCAGCGACTCCAGGGAATAGAATACTTAAAATGGTCGTTAAAATACTTCAGTGAGAAGAGGGACTGGTTGGCTGCTGCAAAAACTGATCCCCAATAAAAGGAAGGATTGGACTTCATATCAGCCCATTTTTCTCCCCCTTCCTTTTCTTGAATAGTTCAGCCTTCCTGGGGGTTTACAGTCCGGTTTTTGGACACTGAAAATGTCATGGTGCCTTTCTTTATGTACCTTACCCTTTTCAGATGGAGCTAAAAGGAACAGCGGCAGGGTTTCGACCCTGCAGAGTTTGTAGCACCCATCCTCTCTTGCAGCCCTTTCACTCAAGAGTCGAACGACGCATCATGATTCATCCAAGCACCATGTGCTTTCCACATTTAGCCTCCATTTCACAAGACTTCGCCGACAGAAACATGCCTGTTATACAACAAAACGTTTGCTCTGCATCATTGAACTTTCTCTGCAGTGTTTAGAATGCTGCTCAAGTACACGGTGTCATAACATAATGTAAATACACTCGTACTATAAAGACATGAACATGCAATAGGGATATAACAGAATTTATCTTTATGTATTTTGCATATATGCATGTCTTCTAGCTTATATACGGAAAGTTGACTTTAACACGGAAAATGATTTTTTTAGGTTGTTTCAGTTTCAAAGGTTTTTTTTCTGAGTCGTGCTTTTGAAAAACGTCCACAGTTGAGTGTGTTTGTGTTTTTAAATGAGTGTGCGTTTTTGTTAAGATACATTTCCCACCTGAGCATTTCTCCCACCACATTTGAAAACAAAAATAAAATAACTGCCTTTTAACGGGCGTGTGTTGGAAAGGACCACACCAGTAGGATCAGCTGATTTTTAAACTGAGTCTCACTGTTACTCAACTTAACATTTACTAATTTTTTTTTAAATATGGCCATCTTTGAAGACTGATAAATTTCTGATTGGATGCAGCTTAAATATACCAAATTTCACAAAATACATAAGATATCCATTATTTGCTTCTCTGAAAGTCATCAAAAAATAATTTTAAAAATAGAATTTACAGATAGATTTTTTTTTTTTAAGGACTGGACAACTTTTGGCCTGAATCAAGCTATAGATAAAGCTTGGAAATTATATAAATTTATGTTCATGTTGCTGTTTTTTTGTGTGTGTTTTGCTTGATGTTTTATAAAGCAGAGATATGATCTATTTTTCTTGGTTTAACCAAAGAATTAGTTTTCTTAAGCTGGTTTCGATTTCAGTATGTTAAATAAATTGGAGGGATATTTATTAGGTGGAAGAAAAAATTAATTTTTTTCAAACTTGTTAAGAGGAAGGCTTTGGTTTTAACCTTTCATTATTTTTGTCTCTGTTGGCTGAAAGGTTTACATTAGAATGTAAAGCATCTGCTTCAGGGCTTCTAGACTTCTGAAGAGTGTGATGGTGAATTGGGTGTGAGATCTTGTGATTCTGTTATTAGCTGGAAATTGTATCACTTTCTGCATTTGCCACAGTACAGACCTCTTCAGTCTGTTGGATGGAATGATTAGTGACAGCCTTTTTATTTCTGTCGTCTTTGGTGCATTTCTTATTTAAACATATGCTCTGCTCACTGGTATGTGTTGCCAATTACGGTCTCTCCAAAAATGGCCTTAATTTTTCACCACAGGACTTCACCTTTGACCTCTGACACCAAACGTATATCTGTTGCTGTCGCTGGTGTTTGGAAGAACTTCAGGAATGCTCGCTATGGATGTTGAGTGTTTATATTTATAGCCATAAAATCTAGTAAATCCTATTCCTTAACTGAATGTTTTGAGTTAAAGATGTACTCTCTTGACATTTTTATCCTTTTCGGGATTATGTGAGAAAAACGTGAGCAATTGTTAAATCTTTTTGAGCTCACATGGAAAAGTCGAAGAAAGTTCACTGAATAAAATAATAAAACAGACTTCCTTTTGTCCCTTTTGTATTAAGAGATCACAAATTACACATTTCACAAAAATGGTTACAATTTACAGTTTGGTTTACATTGTAATGATTAACTGCCATCAAAAGCAGTGTTTTATTTAACATTCAAAATCTAAGACCAGCATGAGATTAATTTCCACAGTAATAATGATGATACTCAGCTATACTGTATCCATCTATAAATGCAGATGAAACAAATCCGTTACATAGACTACAGGCATGTCTTGTAGACATAAAACCAGGACGACTTAACTTTCTGCTACTGAATGGAGACAAAACAGAAGTTACCATCTTTGGACCAGAGTATTTGAAGAAGAAGCTGATTAGTCAGTCACTTCATTTGGATGGGATTAAATTGATCTCAGAAAATAAAGTAAAAAATCTTGGTATTATTTTTGATCAGGACCTCTCATTTAAATCCTATATCAAAGAGGTATCTATAATTTCCTTCTTTCATCTGTGGATATTGCAAAATTAGAAATATCCTGTCCAGGGATGATGCTGAGAAACTAGCCCATGCATTTGTTACTTCAAGGCTGGACTATTGTAATTCTTTAATATCAGGTATTCCACAAACTGTACTTAAAAGCCTAAATTTGATCCAAAATGCTGCAGCCAGAGTTCTGATGAAAATTAAAAAATAGATAATTTCTCTCCTACCCTAGCTTCTCTTCAATGGCTTTCTGTTAAATCAAGAATATAATTTAAAACCCTCCTTCTCACATATAAAGCCTTAAATGGCCAAGCTCCATCTTATATCAGATGATTGTTCTATCACTGTTCTCCCATTCTGCAGTATTTGTTTGTTTAATCTCTGTCAAATACTTGGAAATTAAAAATGTAAACTTAAGAGTTCTATTAGAATACAGAACAAGACGTAATAACTTTACCACTGCATAAATCAAGGTCAAAGGTATTACAGAAATACTCATTTTCCTAACATGCATAAAAAAACAAAGTGTCTCTATAAGAAATTTGTGAAAAAGAAAGAAGGTAAAACATTTTTCATTAAAATATAACCGTCAGAACAACGTTGATGAGGCGCATCTTGCCGGCCCCCCTAGGACACATTTGTTTCACGATTTTACCTTGTTTGCTGAACGTGGTGTTTATTTTCATGTTACCAATAAATGGCAACTTGGACAATAAAGAGTTAAAACTTAAATCTTTCTTTGGGTTTTAATTAACCAATCACCAGCAACCCTGAACCCCCCCCCAGTTTATGGCAGTTTGCTGGTGTATAACACAAAGGTTTGTATTAATTTCAACCCAAATGTGTGCCTTAAAGCATTTTCTTATCTAGGAATGGTTCTAATGTTATTTTTATGCAAATGAAAGTGTTTATGCAGATCGTTTGCGACATTGTCCATCTTAGGCGCTGATGTTACAACAAATTCACCACAGGATTGGCGGAACCAGTGCTGAAAAAGATGATTATGACCCTGATCTCAGATATATGTTAGAAAAATAGAGAACGAGTCAGATTTTTTTTTTATGGAAAGGTTCCCAAAAAAAAAAAAAAAAAAATCCCTCCTCTGTCAAAATAAAAACTGAAGCAGAAGAAGGTTTTTAGGTGACATCTGAGTGATCCAAAAAATTTTTGGGGCAAAGTCTTTTGCACAGATAAACCCTCAACTTTCCGGCTGTAGCCTTGTTTGGTATAAGCTAACGGAGCTTACCAACAGCCAAGCATGTTGGTAGAGAAGTAATGATTCGGGATAATTTTGCAGCCTGAGAACTAGGCAGACACTGGGAGACCATTAGTGCAATATTTTGCTAAATTTACAACAGTATCTGATCAAGCATGACCTAAACAGAGCAAGAACAACAAAAAATGTTTTGTTAAAACAGAAATGAAAATGGAAATCTGTAGTTTATGGTAAACCTTCAAAGATTAGCATTATTTGTACAAATCAAAACCATTATAACAAATATTCAGAGGTTAATAAAAAAAAAACTCCTGATGATAGACACCAGGAAATGAGAAACTGAAGTAAAACGGATTAAAAGCAGGAAACATTTGTAAAAATGAGTTTAAGCCAGCATTTGAACAAGTCAGTGGGCATCCAGATACAGTCTTTAAACTTCCTCAGGCTTTCAGCCTGCACCCAGTGGGCCTGCTCAGTCTGTTCCTGTCACTTCCATCTCCTTCCCTACTTGTTGCCATGAATAACTTCATTTCCCCTTCTTCAGTCAGTAAACTTGTGTGAAAAGCTTTTTTAAAGTTCTCAGTGAACACCAGATCAGTCTCAAACCTGACCTTGTTGGCCCAGATCAGCGTTGTTCCGGGTTTGCAGAAATGCTTCATAGTGACCAAGAGCTCATCCAGGAAGTCGTGATGGTAAACGACGTCGGCTGCCAACACGTAGTCGTACCTGCAGACAGGTGAAGGGTAGGCGTGCTCCATATCGTAGCCCCAGGTCAGAGAGGCCACCTGAGGTGTGTGTCTGCAGCGGCCCCTGGTGTTCCTCATCAAGTTGGCTCGGAGGTTACCTAACACCTCTGGAAGGTCTGTGGCTGTGACCGAAGCTCCTGAACATAGGAGAGAGACAGAAAAACCCCCCTGCTTATTTGCAAAAGGTCATGATGCTGCTAACATTATTACCTACTTTTTTAAAAAAGACCAAAATAGGCTTTCTTTGATGTCATTTTTGTAACCTTGCCCTGTAAATTTCATAATGATCATGACTGGGAAGCTTTTGAGGCACTTCGATTGTGCAGTCCACATGTATTCGGTGGAACTGGAATATACTTGGATGCTCCAAGACATTTTTAGGAGTAACTTTGGAAGAATGGGATACCAAGAAGGCCTTTAAAGCTCTACTGTCTATTTATGACCAAAGCAAACAGCTGGGGCTTCTTTCTGGCCTAAGGTTGGGCTTGTTTCCAGTAAATGTGGCAAGGACTGCTTCTTGTCACTAATCCTGTTTGTGTTGTTCACGGAGATGAGCTCAAGGCATAGTTTTGGAGAAGATAGTTTCTGATTTAGGAAATGTAGAGTCTTCTTTGCATTCTTGATCATGGCAATGAGATATGGATCATCAGTTGAGGAGCAACCAGCATAGAAGCATCTGGAATGGGTTTCCTGCACAGGAAATAAGTCTGATACCTCAGAGTTTGCCACTGTCAGACCAGGAACATGCTGAAGGGAGTATCCTTTTTGGATGGGGGGTAACCCAACCAAAAATACCAGCTTATTAAGTCTTCCACTTCAGGAATAATTACTACCTAATTATTTTTCCATTTATTTCTGGTCAAATCATTATGTTTTTTTTCTGAGTCAATTTCTGATTAAATGTCTATAGTGACTGCTCACCCAGTAGACTGGCCACTATGGCTACCAATCCAGTTCCTGCTCCTAGTTCCAGCACCTCTTTTCCCTGCAGGTCCACTGTGTGTTTGTTGTTTTCAAGGTAGGAGCACAAAGCCAGTGCCTAAAAAAACATGAAAAAAGACCCAAAACAAAATGGTTGATCTGATTAAGTCAATGAAGGTTATGCAGACTTTTTCCTAACTTAAAAAAACAAAGTGTGCTCAGAAAGACTCACAGCTGGCCACATCATTGCTCCGAATGAATCAATAGACTCATATATGACGATGTCCTGTCCTACGTAGTGGTAGATGTCTTTGTCAGGGCGGCATATGATGCTTGGAGCCCAGTTCCGCCGTACGGCTGTCTGGTTCAGATGCTCCTGCTCTGCAGGGACCAACAGACATCTGCTGTAACTTGGTTACCAAACACAAGGTGTAAAATATTGAATCAAAAGCTTGATATAGGCAACTACAAGGAATGCATGCAACTTGTTTTACATAATTGGAACGACAAATAAGCAAGATTCTAAGAAGAAAGAAACTCCCTTTCTTCCTTTAAAGGTCAGACACTCAGGCCCAGCACCTTAGTCCTCTGTGCTATCTCAGGAAAGTTATGCTTTGGCTTCACTAGTTTTGGCTTTCACTTGCATCTCTGATTTATGTCACAGCAGTCCTGCCAATCTCATTAAAGCTGTTTTTTTCACTTTAGAGTCTGCTGGCAAATGAGCACGTATGTCTTCCAGTAGAGAAGAGAAAGATTAGCAGCCAAAACAAACACCCAACAGCTCAAAACATGAATAAATTCCCTCTATGTAATACTATTTCTTTTAAGCTACAGGCGCTCTATGCAAGCCAAGACATTGTTTTCATGGAGGTTTTGGTGAATACACTTTGTTAAACATTTATAATATGCAAACAGCCCTGGCATATCTTTTGATGGATGAATGACTGATTTGCACTGGCAAATAGCTCACCAGAAATGCTTTCAACAATCTCCTTCTGTTCATCAGTTTTACTGTCTTCTGAGGTCACCGTTTCCTCTTCCTCACTTTTGAGCTTTTTTTCTTCTTCTACCTCCTGTTCTCCACTATCTTCCAGTCTATCAGACCCCACCTCCTGACAGGCACAGTACAGTTTGTCATCACAGCTTTCTTCCTCTCCAGTCTTCTCATCCTCGTCTCCCAACAGATCTTTTATTTCGAGCTTCTGATCCATTTCAAAATCTCCTTCCCTACTTGTTGCCATGAATATCTTCATTTCCCCTTCTTCAGTCAGTAAACTTGCGTGAAAAGCTTTTTTAAAGTTCTCAGTGAACACCAGATCAGTCTCAAACCTGACCTTGTTGGCCCAGATCAGTGTTGTTCCGGGTTTGCAGAAATGCTTCATAGTGACCAAGAGCTCATCCAGGAAGTCGTGATGGTAAACGACGTCGGCTGCCAACACGTAGTCGTACCTGTAGACAGGTGGGGGGTAGGTGTGCTCCAGGTCGTAGCCCCAGGTCAGAGGGGCCACCTGAGGTGTGTGTCTGCAGCGGCCCCTGGTGTTCCTGCTCAGATTTACTCTGGTGTTGTTTAAAACCTCTGGAAGGTCTGTAGCAGTGACCCAACTACCTGAAAAATAAACCAACAATCAAAAGCATAAAGGAATAAAATCGCTGCTGTTTAAGAATCTGCTGACAGATTCGTATACGCTCACACACCGAGAAGTGCCGCGACCACAGACACAAGGCCAGTTCCTGCTCCGATTTCCAGCACAGCTTTGTCTGTGAGATTAAGTTGATCCCGATGAGTATCCAGGTAGTGGCAGAGAGCTAAAGCCTGGGAAACAACAATATCCTCATTGTCAGTATGCAAACCGCTTATTATGTTCACAAAAAAGTGTCATAATGTCAGTCATCTGTCAGTTTTCATCATTGAATGTGTCAGTTGTGGAATTTAGAGCAGTTTGTTTTCAACAGTGATTTTCCCACAAGCACAATGTTAATACTAAAACATTTGAACATACTGAAAGGATCCCATGTAACTATATGTAGATTTGCACACAGAATCTGCAATTTCATTGTGCATCTATAGTGATTCCCACATTGCAGTTGCTTAGGGTTGGGAGTTAAGAGGATTTGCTACTAGCTCAGGGTTGATTTGCGAGAAAAACCCCAATAGAAATAATAGAAACAAAAAGTGAGAAGTGTAGAATTTTGCCTAGAATACTTCCATCATGTGCATAGAAAAGGAAATCTAATTGATGTAATTTAAATCAAAATGTTTCTGAATATTTCAAACCCTCATGCTTGAAAGTGTATCAAATCATCCGAGTCTAAAATGAACATTTAGTGGTTGAATTAGAACAAGTTTAAAGGATATGTCTTTCATGAGCGCCCCTAAAGTTGAATGTTCTTTCTAAAGAGAAGCATGGCTGAAATGATACTGCTACACAAGGTTTTTTATACAAATGTCACAACCTGCACCACTCACCCCGGGCCATATCATGCCTGCATATGAGTCCAGACCCTCTTCGATGACTATCTCATGGCCGACGTAGTTGTACACTTCTTTGCCCACTCTGTTATAAAAACATGGACCCCAGGTGGCCAGTTTTTGTTGCTTTCCCTCAGTTAATTTCGTTTGTGGATCATCTTAAAGAAATAAATATGGTAGTTTCAAAAGCATTGATGAGTAATCCTAACATTGATACTGCAATGGTTAAAAGTTACCTTTGTTTTCTTCTTCCTTTTCTTCAGCCTCATCTTTCTCCTTTTCATGTTCACCCCCTGTATCTTCCACAAATGGCGAACCTTCCATGTTGAAGTACTTCATGATGTTGGGAAGAAGGTAGTTTTCATTTAATTTCAATTTCTAATTATCACTTATGCCTTTACTTATATTAAGCAAAAAAGATAGATAAGATAGATAGACCACGTTTTGTTTAAAAGTTTAAAGAAACGTCTTTCTTACCTGTTAGTTTTGAGCCGATGTGGCTTTAATTCCCATTTAAAAAGCCCCAACTGTGTCTGGACACCTTGGAAGGCGATGTTATAGACCCTCAGCATCCAGCAGGACACTCCCATCATCATTACAAGGGCAGAGGGGTATTTTTAGAGCTGTGCTCATTAGGAATAAACACAAGGCTTGGTAGGGGGCACAAAGGTTCAAATGCACAAACAAAAAAGAGATGGAGGAGGAGCCAAAAGGAAGAAGAAACTAAGCCATAGTAAGTTTGGTAAGCTTTGCTTCAGCTGCTATTTGTTGGTGGTCCATCTGCAGATGAGCAGGAAGGGGTCCTTAATGTGATAGGAAAAGAGGAAATAATAAATTAGGTTCAAACAGATCTAAAACATGATGCTAATGTGACAATTTTACTGCGTTTACTTGGTCTATTACACCTAAAGGAAAACATAGGATGGGTTTTAGTCTGTTGCAAAACCAAGGATATGATTTCTGTTTGGCGTGGTGATATCTTGGCAGGGAGCGGATGAATGTGTGTGTTATCACTGTTCACTCTGTTTGACACCCATATGCAAAGTCTGAGAATGGACATGTGCTGAATATGTCACGATTAAAAGGTAACCTGATAAATGGTGCATTGTTTACTAAACTCTTAAATCCTGGAAAACATTCATCAAACCCACTATGCATATTTTAAAACAATTAACTGACAGACAGTAATATCGATGGTTACTTTTTAAGGCAAGAAAAAATACTGTTTCTGGTGTCACAAAAATCACTATTAGTAAATAGTTTGGATTCTTTTTTCTGCAAAAGAGCTCTAAAACTCGGGTGGGGCAGTTGGTGAAAACAAACAGTCTATTTAAAATTAGTCACGTACTCTGGGATGCCTTCATGTCGCTTGCTCGCTTTTCCAGCAATGGCCTCAATTGCTTCAGCAGAGATGGGGGGTAAGAGGATCAGGCTGGAATGCATCCCGCACGTATCAAGCTGTGGAGAAAATAAGGGGGCTCCAGTGTCAACAACGTCTGACGTCTACTCCCAGGGTCAGGAATTGTCATCTACAGATTTCAAATCCCAGAATTTTGCTCTTCTCATTTGCTTTTTTTAAAGCTCATAGCTATAAAGTCACAAATTTTGTTAATCAGGCTTAGTTCTTCAAGAAATGGCTTTTTTTGCCTGATGACAGACAGAAAATGAACTCTAGTCGTTGAAGGAGTTTCTTTTTTTTTTTTTTTTTGTATTAGCAGGTTGTCAAAAGAGTAATAAAGTTAATAGATATTCCCATAAGGCTACATGCAGACTTCAGCTGTTGGGTATTTATTTGTCTTGACAAAGGCAGAGGTATTTACTGCCTGACAGCTTAAATAACCTGCTTCCCTTTAATCCATCTCTTTAACACAGCTTGGTTGACATGCATCCACCAGAACCACCAGGAATGAAGCGACAGAAAACGACCCTGAAAAGCTCGGGGGATTTGGAACGATTGAAGTATCAAATTTAATGGGTCACATTTATAGCAAGCTGACTCAAACTTGCTCCTTCCCATGTAGTCAAACTAACTGGTGAGTTTCCAGGATATGGAGGAAATTAGTCCTGCTGTGGTGTTCAAGTTACTTTAGCAGCAACCATGCTGCCATTAAAGGAGAACTAAAGGTTTGGTGTTTACTCTGTGCCCCTAAAACTGCTGAGCATGTGATTTCTGACTTTTAACAATTTAATCATTCTATGAAAACATACAAACATAACGTTCACTGAAAGACTTTTGTATAAATGAGTCTTAAAATGATTGATCCAAGATGTTGCATATTCACACGTCACACATCTAGATTTCACCAATAACATTGCAGGCAATTTTGCTTTGCAGAGAGGATTTTTAAAAGGTTATCGTCTTAAGCAGGTCCAGCTGCCCAGCGGAAATTGAGTCGCTGATTTTAAGTGTGCACAGGGTGCTTAAAACGCTTTAAGACATAAACAGTTTTAGAAATGAAAAAACTTAGACTGACACAAAGCCAACCTTATAAAGCTGTCATTCTGGTTTACAGGCAAAAAATTTCAAAACAAGCAATATTTGCAGTTTTACACTGAGGGGTTGATTCAAAAGCTAATCTTAAAGTTAAAACCATGGTGGGTATGCTTTGTTGAAATAAGCAATTAGGAGTGCCTGCCATAGGTATTTAGACAGCTTGTTTACAAAAAGTTAAAAAGAAGTTATATTTGAGAGAATACCACAACCATTTAAACATTTATGTCGACGTTCACCCACAATATGAATGTATTGGAAGCATACACAAGTACAGAATGTACAAGCAATCAGCTGGTTTTGCTTAGATAGAAAACTTTGAATCAATCTAACTGTATGATCTGGTTGAATTGTCTCTGTAAAGTGCTTTGAGATGACGTGTTGGGGATTGCGCTATATAAATAAACTGAATTGAATTGAAATTGAATTTAATGCAATATGCTCTACACGTGTCAGTTAAAACTAAATCAAGGAATAACATACCAAATTATCCTATCTTCCATTAAAACCGGAGATAAATGCAGAAAATTTGATTGGAAAACAGTTAACTGATTTTATTTAATCTGCCTTATCTCTGTGTTCCTGTTTTTATGCCGATTGAAGCTTCATTCCATTTTATCTTTATTTGACAGGATAATGCAAACTAACGTAGTGACAAAACAGTCACTTAAATACTCCACATAAATTTTGTAGCTACAGTAGTTTTCAACTACTGTCCCTGGTTGGGCTATTATGTACAATAGAATTTACAAACACAATTTCATGTTCAAAGAATTAAAAAAGGATAATAAATGTAGAACATAAATCTCATATACGACTATTACTTAAAAAAAATTGAAACTGAGTACAATTCGGATTGGTCACTAACCAGTTTTTTGTTTGGTAACGAACATTTTAAAATCAGCCACCGTTTTGACATCAGATGGTAATGAGCTCTAGAGTCTTTAACAGCGAAGGCCGTCTGTCCAAAACGTATTTTAAAGTCATGGTTTGAGCAACTTCTAGTAACCCGGAGGATACTTTGTCTCTAAACAAACGTACTTATGTTTATGCATTTAGCAGAATCTTTTATCTAAAGCGATTTACAAAGTAAACGCAATGTTACAGTTATCATCAATATGACAATAACTTCTCGAGAGGAAAATTCCTGGTCAGAATCAGTGGTGACAGGAAAGAGATAGAGGGAAGTACAGAAAGAGTGGTAGAGGGTTACAGAGGTATGGGTTAGAAACGTACCCACTTAGTGGCTCAGGTGTTGAATCATTAATTAGTTTCTCAATCAATTTAAGGAAAGAAAGATTAGTAAAACTATAAAAAATACTCATTGTTTTTTATTTTTTCAAGGATGGTACAGTGGTGATACCCTATTGGCTTTTTATCCATAATTTTTGTATTGCTCAGTTGCAAGCATCTTAAAAAAAGTAGCTTTAATTTAGAGTCTAAGGCTGACCTTTGACCAGAAAATGACAGATTACCAATCTAAACATTGCAGTTTGGAGAAGTATTGGATTTTGAAATAAAACGGAATAAAACTCTGAATGATCAAAATTTGTCTAGTATTCTATTTAGATGATTGTTATCTAAAGTGTTCTAAAAAAAAAAAAAACAATTGGCTTTTCTTCATTTATTTACTTCAACTCTTTCAGAATCTGCTCAGTATAAAAAAAAAAAAAAAAAAAAAAAAAAAAAGAACAAACTGTGGTGGTAGTTTCATGGTCTGGGATTGCTCTTAATTCAAAACCTGGAAAAAGTGCTATAATTGCATAAAGAGAGGGATGGATCTTAAGCGGTCAGGTAAGCAAGCTCACCTTGAATTAATTAGCAACATTATCAGCCAAAAAGATTATCAGCCAAAACTCAACGCTCACTGAGCCTTATTTTTAGAGATAAAAAAACCCATTAGGATGAATCCATAAAAAATACACACGGCAACATACAACATTGTAGAATTTAATTGAATTAAGAATGTCTAAACTTTAAAAAAGTTTTTTTTTAAGTCTAACAAACCAACCAGCTGGACAAGTTCGTTTCATTTCTACCATAGGATAGCTGTTTGTTGGGAGCATTGTAAACAATGAATCAGAGCGGAATTTTATGGGAAGAGGACAACTATGTTACAGACCAAAACCATGCTTTAGATGACTCTTAATGAGAGTTTGAGTTGGCACAGATTTATGGTAGCCATCCTCTGTTCTTCAGCTCATGCAGCAGCCTCTTTGGTCCTCTTGATCTTCCTCCAGGCTCGGTACAGTTTAATGCTAAGACTCGGCAGGTCATACAGCTCCTCGAGGTTGAACCGCTGCTGGAAGCGATCCACAAAGCTGTTCTCAGGGTCCAGCCTAAAACGCATGGCCCAAAGTATCTGAGTGCTGTCTTGACAAAGGTAGTCGAACGTGTCCATGAGCTCATCCAGGTAAGGGTGCGCGTAAACCACGTCAGCTGCAAGAATGTAGTCAAAACAATGTGTTGCACGCGGGAAACGTTCAGCCACATTCTGACCCCAGATAAGCTCGGTGACCTGGAGAGAGTGGTTACACTGGTTGATTAGGAAGGTAGTAAACAACTGATGGGTCTTCAGCTCAAATTACATTCTTTGGAGATATGTTGAAATGTATTTGCCGTTAAAGAGTGAGAGATCGTGCCAATTAAAGACATCAAGAAAAACAAAAATGTTTCTACTTTGAAAACATAAAATATCTGTTAATTTTATGGCATTTTACATTGCTCTGTTTTTCCTAAACCCAGTTAATTAACCTTGAGGTATTCAACTTATTTAAATTAAGACTTTCTTCCACACAAAACATACCAGAGGGATATATTTGCATCTGCCCTTTGTATTGCGTGTTACATTGTACTGGAGATTACCCAGAACATCTGGCAGGTCCGTGGATGTCACTTTAGCACCTGAGAGAAAACAAGAAGTGCCAGGAAAAATAAAATACTCCCAATTAAACTTCACAAACGTATGATTATATGCCTGAAAATCACAGGATCTATATGCATGTACCTAACAGACTGGATACAATGGTGACGAGCCCAGTTCCGGCTCCCAGTTCAATCACATTTTTATGCTCCAAGTTGTATTTGTCCTGGTTGGTTTCCAGGAAGTGGCACAGCACCATTGCCTGTTGGAGAATGATCAGAAAAAATATGAGACACAGACTAAAGGAATAAAGTCCTGGATCATGATTTATTTTTTTAAATGGATGAGTCTAAAATTTAAATAAACAGAGGACATGTTTGATTTAAACAAAACGCAGCACTGCAGGATGCAAACTGTGAAGCATGGAGGAGGTCATTTCATGGTAAGGGGATTCTTTGCTGCAGTATGAGCCAGCCAAATCAATGCCTCAGATCATCTCTAAAATGAATACAGAGAGACTGGACCCTACAACCTGACCAAATCATACAAGCTAATCCACCAAGAGCTGGCAGAAACTAAGAAATGGCAACAGGTGGACTAGCTGCTTGGCAGTAGGATGCACAACGCTTTTCTCCACACTGTATTTTATGATTAGCTTTGATTGAATCATTTTCCGTTTAGGAGAAAAAAAATAATACTAATTAATCATCAACATATGAACCTATCCTTTGGTAAAAAAAACAAAGTTTCTCATGGCGTCTCCTAATATTTCAGGTCACTAAACATAAGAACGCACCGAGGGCCAGAGGACAGCTCCATAGAGGTCTGTGGATTCTTTGATCCGTATCTCCAGATCAGAGAAGATGTATCCCTCCCACGTCTCAGGACCGATGGCTGACGGCTGGAAACGGCGAGACATGATGGCTTTAGCCAGCTCTGCATCAACGGGAATAATATCTAAAAAAAAACAAAAAAAAAAGAAGGATTTGCACTAAATCATTATTGTCATATAATAATGCTCCAGAGAGAAACAAAACTGAAAGCAAAGAGGTAAATCCTTATGCTAACGGTCAAACAAAGCAGGACATTTACAGTACAGATAATCACTTTAACAATGACTAAAATCTACTGAAGCCAGAATTTTCAAAAATAGTATAGATCTTCTGTAAAGCTTTTATTTCACACTTTAAAAAAAATGTATTCACAAAAAAACCTGTTTATTTACCAGTAAGTCTCTGGGAAGGACTTTTTACACATTCAGATCTGTTGCTTTGTGGTAAAGTCTTTTTTAGCCCAAACTGTGTAACATCCTGTTCAGCCGTCTCACACTCTTTATTTCCATCTGTTCTTGGAGATAAAGAACAGATGAAGTTTTCCTTATCTATGAATACATTCAACCTTTTCACATGTTTTCATATCCAAGGTTGGTGGATGAACTTTATGTCGGGCTATCGAATTAAAGGAGACTGGTTGAGAGTGAATGTATGTCATTTTTTACACTGCTGTTGAATAAAATGTTTGAAAGAAATACACCTATAAGTTTTTTTATCTACTTGTGTCATCTGTAATAAAAAAACAATAATACATTTATGTTTATTGTTAGAAGCAAACCAAATCTAAAAAAAAATCTATATTTAATTTTCGTAGCATTGTGTGATGCTCAAAGGATAAATCTTGTCCCCTCTAACATAAAGTAGTAACACCATACCAAAAACTATCTGATGGGAAGAATTCTCTGTATCATCTATGTTTTTCTCTTTCATATTTTACTGTGACTGTTACCCTTCAATTAGAATATTTAATCAAGAAAACCACTTATGTGTTTTTTATTTTCCTTCTCGATCACAGGTAAGGACTGTGAGTCACACTGGCTGCATGCAGGCGCTGACATGAGAGCATCCAAACCACAACTTTAGTTATGCAATGCTGGTTTAGATAAAAGGTCAGGAAAGCCCACTGTAACAATGCCAGGCTTGGGGACTGTTTTCATTGGCCGGATTTAAACCCTTTCAAGTCCCCACTTCTTGCTGTCATCAGTGATGACTGTGGAGAAGCCCAGCTGCAGCACAACAGCACCTCCAGAAAGAAATGGGATCTGCTTCTTAAAGCTACAGTATTAAAGTAAGAATCTATAGAGTTAATATATGAAAGGCTCTAAGTATAAATTCAAATTCTCACCGCCTTGTTTGGTGCTGGAGTCCTCTGCGACTTTAGGCTGCTGGGTGTCCGTGTCTGCAGGAGGAGAAGCATGGCTTAAACAGGACATGTTACTGCGTATGAGCCTTGCTGTCAAAGGTGAAGCTCTTTCAGATGTGGGTCACTGTGGATGCTGATCTCAGACGGGACGTTATTTCTAACCCTCTATGGTTTTAGGTTACACACAGTGTTTAAAAAGTTCTTGTCCAACAATCCCATGCCGAGCCTTGGATCCTGCACATATTTCTGTCTCCCTCCGGTCAAGCTTAATGCCGCCCTCTGAAGCAGGGCGTTGACTGACAACAGCAGCTGCCCTGCTGATGGACAGGAAAAACAGGGAGGAGGGGTTATTTACAGACTGAATGAAATATTGAACAAAATAATATCTCCAATTTTTATGGAACCACTGGTTAATTATGCTTAAACAATATGTTGTTTTTTTTTTGTTACACAAAGCGTATCTGATTGTCAAAGGGATAGAAATGATGAGGAAAAGGTATTAAGACACATTGGATGTGCAACTGTTCTTAATGTTGCAGAGTATGAAATGACCTGTGACACATACTTAGGGAAAAGTTACAAAGTTTTAATGCAGACAGGCAATCTTCTTATACAGACATATCAGAGGAGGTAAAAAATATTCTCAGCATCTTCAGTGTTTATTAAAAAAACAACAAAAAACATACAACACATAATGCATATTACAGAAAACTTTCTGTTCTGAATTTATTTTTAAAACTTTCAAGCTAATTTCACATTTGATATCAAGAGTTTAGGCACATTTTAAAGCTTCTTTCCTCTTCCTCTGGTGCGTTTTCCTCCACGGCCTCGTCTGTTGCCGTCGAACACAGACCGGGCTGTAACCATGGTAACATCCCTGCCTTCGTCACTGTCCTCACCAGAGGAGCTGCTGCTGCTACTTTTCCTCCTGGGCTTCTGAGGTAGTTTTTTACTGGTCTGATGACCAGTTGCTATGAAGGATTCCTGTCCCGTACTGCAGACATCCCTGAGGGACGTAAGAGGAGATTCTGCTTTTGACTCTGGGACTAGGAAACCTCCCCCTGTCACATGGCCCTCATCTTCTTCCTGTCCATCTGAGGTCTTTAGTTCTTTCTCTCCTTTCTTGGATTTGGATGGGGAAGACATTTCTTCTTCTTCACTACTTTCTCCCTCCCCTCCTTCCCTCTCCTTTCTCTTCAGGCAGGTGACGGCTCGGCGGAGTCGCTGGCTGCGGATCGCCTGCTTCTCCTGTTGCTCCAAGCGGAAGAATGAGTCAATTCGGAGTTGAGTCTGCATTGAAAACAATAAGAGACAAAAGCAGGGCATTAACTTTAACCAAGATAAAAATACTGGAAATATCAGTGAATATATAGGCCAGTTTTATTAATCAAATGGTCTTTCTTATTTTTATTTTTTTTTAAGTTATGGAAGTAGTCTTTTTTCTCTCCTATTTCAGCTTTTTATCAAAGTCCAGAGGTACAAAATAGCAGAATTGATGAATTCTAAATATTTTTTTATTTTTTATCCAAGAAGTACAAATGGATTTTTTTCCATACAATACCCACACATTTACAGTAAATGTATAATGCATTAAACAAATTTTGCTGAATGGAAAACAATAGTTGAGGGATGTTAAAACACAAATACTCAAACAAAAATTGTAAAGTATGAAAATAATATTTTTCTATGCGAAGAGAGGTTTATCTGATTCAATTTGAATAAATACAAACCAACCTTAAAAAAAAATAACATTAAAAGACTAAAAAAAAACCTGTTAACACTGCACTAAATTACAGCTTTCGAAAAATGTTTATTTCACTTTTTTCAACCTTCCTGCCACTTCAATCACTTTAAGCTTCTGTTTTAAGAGCAGATTCTGATCTACTCATTAGCAGAATGAATCCTAGCTAAGGACTCCAGCTTTACCAGAGAAACAATTTAACAAAATAGTTTTTTATCCAGCTAATTTTATAAAACATTTAAACAGTTTAATTATTTCGTTCTAGTTATAATGTCAGAAGTTATAATACAGCTTTCTTAAAGTAGTTTTGTTTAGTTTCTTATGAAAAAAGTTAACTCAAATCTCACATTTGATACCCATATCCGCCACCTTTGTAGGGTCTCCTTCCTTCATCTTAAAAACATTGCCAAACTTCGTCCTTCCTTCCCCCAACTGGATGCTGAGAAGTTAATCCATGCTTTTATCCCCTCTAGGTTGGATTACTGCATTGCCCTCCTCGTCAGGATCACTGGCAGGAGCCTGCAAAAGGTCCTGACGAGGAGGCGTAAATACAATCATATCACTCCGGTCTTGAATTCACTCCACTGGCTGCCTGCTCAACACAGAATCCATTACAAAATCTGTCTCCTCACCCATCAGTGCGTACATGGAACTGCCCCTGCCTACCTCAGTGATCTCCTTAAAGCACACATCAACCCATGAAGCCTCTGCTCCTCCAACTCTGCCTACTGCCTGCACAGAGACTCTGAGGGCCCCACAATCTGTGGAGGTGTTCAAAAAGCAGCTGAAAACATTAATTTTTCAAACGGTGCTTAATACTTATAGTTTTCAATTTAATTTTATGGTGTTTTTTTTTATTATACTTTGTGAACTTTTTTAACCCCTTATTGTAGCACTTTTATTTTATTTTGAAATGTAAAATGAATTATAAATAGAATGTATTATTATAATATTATTATCATTATTCATTTCTTATGAGGTTTGATGTAATCTCACTTGAGCGGCTATAGTCATGCTACCAAGGTACGATAAACCAATTAGATATGACTGTACCGCCATCAGAGCTGCTGACCGCTCTCTGTTACCTGCTGGGAGTTGAGCTGTTTGATCACAGGTTGCAGCGTCTCCTCCGTCTTCCTGCTGCTCCAGCCAAAACGACTCAAACAGAATCTAAGCAACTGGTCAAGGAAACTGTTACATTTATAAAAACACAAAAAGGAACAGAAATACATAGAGGAGCAGCAGTTGGAGCTTAGTATTCAGGTCATATTCTAATTTATGGTAAACATTAAATATAAAACAACAAATGAAAATGTAAATAAGTAAGAATTTTGACAATTCAGATTTTGAGGTGGTAGCTTACTAAATACATTTTCTGATCCAACTCTTACACAAACAGAGAATGGAGGATATTCTTTGATCATGTCAAGCTGTGGGCGCCCCCAACTGAAGGAGGCCTCTGATTGGTCAACAGCAGGCTGAAGGTAAGCCTGAGCCACCGCCGGGTTGGGAAAACCAGGATTGAGTTTCAGTTCCCTCACTTTCTTCTTCACTTTCGTGTCTCTGGGATCATCTGACAGACGCTTTTTCTCCTGAGCCCCAGACCACCAATTTCTGCAGGGATTTAAATAATTTCAATATTTTTTCATTAATTAACACGGGCAGAGCTATATTTCGGTTAGTCTTAACTGCTGAGTGGGATACAAAAAACAAAAACAAACCTGAGCTGCATGAGCGGCTCCAATCCTGGCCCTGGAAACTCATTCAGTATCTCCATGCCAGTCACGTACCCAACACCTGGCACGCCCTCTGTGTAGTCGCTTCCGAGCAGGTAGGCCAGATTGATCATTTTTGTCCTGTCCAGACCTGAGAGAAAAGCTAATCTATTAAGATTAACTCCTTTACCAAAACAAAACCTTCATCCAGTAGGTACAATGTCTTCTCTGCTGCATGTTTACCAATTCTCTACCTGAACTGAGACCACTGACCTAACTGAGTCTGGAGATCACTGTACTGGTAGTGCTCGACATATTTGTTCTGGCTGAAGAAGTTTTTGTAAACGTGTCGTCCTCCGAACAGCCAAACGTCAGAGTCGTCTGTGATGGTCCCATGCGTCTGGTCGGCGCGGTCCAGGGCTGCACACTGAGCCTCTGCCTCCATCGGAGCCACCAGAAACGGCACGCCGAACAGTCGCAGCAGCTCCTTGATTTAAAGACAGACATGAGTTTAAAGGGGCAAATACTTCTATGAGGAGGGCTGACTCTAATAGAAACTGGGTGTTATCTAACGACAACATTCACTGCACTAACAAATTAGATAGGTGAGGTAAAATTCAAATAAAAACATTAAATTTACTTGAAATGCAGGGATTACCATTTAACATTTAGATCAAATAGTTTATGTTTTCATTGGCATATATTAATAAATTACAAAAAAATAATGCTTTACCATGTAAGAAATTGTAACTTTCCGCAATTATCTTCAAATATGAATGAAAAAATATGAATAACATAAAAAATTAAATAACATATATACATCTACATATATCTATATATATACCTACATACATGTCTCTGTCCGCCTGTCTATCTATATATCTCCATTTATTTATTTTCCATCTTGTGACAGTTTTTTGTTTTTTTTTTAATGGTCATCTGATCTGTTAATGTTGCTGTCACTATTGATCCAAACACTTCAGGGTGTGCTCTTAACATTACAGCATGTTTTTCCCCTGGGGAAAATATTCTTATTTCTGTTGTCATGTGAGAAATCCCTGCACTCTTAGCAGCTCATTATCCAAACAGCTGAAAAGATTAATGCAGATCCAGCACTCTGACAGGGAAACACTAGCGCTGATTTTATGATCTAGAACATACAGGCAACTGCTGATCGTACATACAGATACAAGCGTTCTGCTACGCAGAGCAAACACTGCACACACAAATCAGGCTGCATATTTTGGCAAATGCAGCACAGAGGAATAAACTCTCCCCCCAGAGGTCCTGCACCTGCTGCAATTTATCAGATGTCCTCAGCTTTAAAAAAGAAAAAAACATCCATGTTCTTTTCACATCACTGAAGGCAGATTTTCTCCTCTCCGATCCAATTCTACATCTGGTTTAGCTCACCTGGCTTTCCAGGTACATCTGCCCCGTCACTGTGTTCGCCATTCGCTCCTGCTGCTGTTTTTGCTCCCGCAGGTTGCTCTGCTCCAGCTGCAGGGAGCTCTCCAGAGCCCCCAGCTCCTCCTGAAGAACAACAAAAACAAAAAACACAACACGACTTATAGATGGGTGCCTTCACTTAAAATTAAAGGGTCATGACGTCCCTTAAAGGTATAGTGGATGATGTCCTTTTTCCAGGTGGATCATCAAAATAAGTGGTCCTCCTAAGCGTCAATCAGTCTGGTGATATGTTTACGTAAGGCCTTCCTACGTGCTTGTCCCCATTTTCACTTACCGGAGTTGAGTCTGACATAGAGGAAAAATTGAAAATCTTTTGGACAGTAAGCTTGTATGAGTGATGCAAACAGCAACTTTTAAACAGAGCGTGCACGAGGAGAAATGGGCTTCGTCCAATCGGACGCGTTTAATAGGCGTTTCCTTTTGGGGGTAGGTACAGGGTTGTGCATGTGCTTTTTTTTTTTTATTGGAGAGGTCTTTTCTAATATTCACTAAAATCCTCCATTATACCTTTAAGGTTTGCTTTAGAAAGAAAAGAGTTTTAACATTAACTGAATTAGTAATATCTTGGTTCTGGATAATTGAATCTAATAAAATTCTTCATGCAAAACATCCGTTTAAAAAAAAAAAATTAATCATTGTAGTGGTATAGTAGCAGAAAACGTAAAATAAAAAGAAAAAATATTCAATGCCAAAAAGAAGAAAAACCCAGGTTATCAAGAGATGAAAAAAAAAAACAGATGTGTTTAGTTTTTGGGGGGATACTAACCATGTCGAGTTCTTCCCATTCATCGTTTGCTGCTGTTGTTGTCGATCCTTCGTCTGCCTCATCCTTCAGCTGCTTCTCCTGATCTTTAACCTCGGTTTCCTCCTCCTTGTCTGAACCCAGAGCTGTTTTATCAGGAACCTCTGTCAAACGACCCTCCGAATCTTCTTCCTTTTTCGTCTCATCTTTCTGGACCGCCTCTAAAACCTTTTTTTCTCCTGATGAATCTGTTGTGTCCTCCTGTTTAGATTCCTCCTCAGGCACCTCAATGAAGCTCTCTGTGGAAAACAGAAACTTTAAATCTGCTGATAAATGAAATAGTGGTGTCAAGAATTGTGTCTAACTTTACCTTCAGAATCACTTTCCTCACTCTTCTCTGACTTCAGTTCAACTCTCTTGGGTTCCTCGGGGCCTTCAGTGAGGGGATCCCTCCTCTTATCCAGAGCGCTGTCCTCAGCCTCAGCGCTTGGCGGGGCGATGGATGGCTCCTGACCGGATGCAGAAACACATAACTCGCGCTCAGTCTCTTTCTGCTCCGGCTCGTTTTGTTTATTTGCTTCCTCCTCTGACTCCTTCTCTGTTTTGGAACTTTTTCCAAGTGCTGCAGACCGAATAGCTTTATTTCTCTGTCCGATCACTTCCTCCATCTCATCCTCTGAGCTACTGCCAAGTAAACTATCATCCATTTGTAAACATTGGTGTGCGGCGTTTTGAGCAAAGTCCAAGCCCTCCTTCAGCGAAGGCCCCGTCTCCTCTTCCTCCTCAGAGCTGCTGCTCTCCACTGCTCCCACAGGACGCGGGAGACATGTCTGGAGTGTGGAGGCTGAGACACTAGCTTCATTCTCCTCTTCAGTTAATGCTTGCTGGATTGCTAGGAGTGTGCGTGGAGACACTCTTCCATCCTTTTTATCTGGGTCCTCTTCCTCCGAGCTGTCGCTCATAGCAGCCTGAATTGCCTTGAGTGTCCGAGGGGACGGTGGAGATGGTTTCGACACGGTAGGGGGGGAAACTTCAGAGCAGGTTGCTCTTACTTCATCTTTCTCATCGTCTTCATCTCCAGTGACGGGTCGCCAAAGGGGCTCCGGTTTGTCAGCGTTCCTCTTGCTGCAGCCCGTCAGGGAGCTGCCAGACCAGGGTGCAGCTGCAGGTCGGCTTTCTGAGGTTGGTTCGTTCTTTTTAGAGCCTGCATGCATAGAAAGTAAAGAGCTGAATTCTACATAAAATTAACAGCAGGAAATCAAAATAATAACCAAATCTAAGGTTGGATTGGGAACCTTTGAAATCGACATGACTTACGATATTTCAATGTGAGCAAAATTGTTATTTAGTAAAAATGTGCTGTACTTTTAATCAAACATTGAATAAGCCCTGTTAGCAATTAATATTCCCATAAGAGACTAATCATAAACCAGATGCTTAATCTGCCTCACCTTTGATCAGTATATAGTGTGAGTGGTCTTCTGAAAGCAGCCGGTTTGACTCCACGCTGTGATTCTGCTGATCTCCGTCCTGCTGGCCGAGCTGCGGGGCGCTGCCGGCGCTACGCTGGCACATCTCCTTCTCAACGCCCTCCAGACGCTGGTTCAGTCGGTTCCTCTGCAGCAGGCCGGCCAACTGGAACTGCGAAAAGTCTCTGGAACGCTAAAAGAGGAGGAAAGGTAAGAATGAAGTTGGCGCTGAAAAGAGGAGTGGAGCGTGTAGCAGACTGTGACATACCTCAGGAGGTTTGGTAAACATGGTGCGCCGTCTTTTACAGAATTCTTTCATCTCTTTTAGGATCTCGTGTTTCATCTCTGGAGGCAGGTTGGCGAAATCCTCAGAGTTGATGTCCACCGAGTTTGGGTCCTCATACAGCTCTTCGTGAAACTGAGTCATCAAGGAAGAGTTTACACAAAACGTTTAGGCACACGGAAATCTTAGGAATTAAATATATTTGGGAGATGACGAACAAATTAGAAAGAAAATGTAGTTGAAGCCCCTTTTTCATTGAGTCCTCCTCAATTTTTTTAATAATCTCAAGTTTGGTGAAATCTTAGAAAAAAAAAACAAAACAAAAACCCAAAGAAATTATACCTAAAGGCTTTTTTTTTAAATCATCTAGCCTTGTCACTCGGAAACATCCTTATGCAAAGCAGCTATTGTTTAAATAGATAGAAAGGACAGTGTTTTTCACTTTTAAAGCCTAAAAAAACAAACATCTCTCAAGCGTTTGGAACAAATTACTGCTGCTAAATTAAAAGTTAGAAACTTATTTCCCCCAAACTTTAAAAATGTTGTGTTTCGTATAACTGTTTTATTACACTTTATTTGTTTCCAAGTGTTTTAATCAAAATGTGCATTTTTAGTATCCCAAACATTTCTGAAACTAGAACACAGATAAATAATGAACAAATTTCTGCTAATTCTTCCATCAGTTCTCCTATTATGCATGATTTGAAATGACTAGTGCCATTACCTCTGTTCATTAACATCAGAAAGTATTCCAGACTCAGTTCTTTTGTCTCTTTTTCCTGGATGTGGCCCTTTATGGGTTAATTATCACCTCTCTATACTGCCAGATTTGATTTTTCCTTAAAGTTTTTCCTAAGAGGAACTTCTATGATTTCATGCCAATTCTTCACTTTAAAGTGATTTTAGACATAATTTAGACATCATTATTATTTCCATGATATCATCGGATGTAATTGCCTCTACCTTTACCTATACGACAGTGTTGAACTCAAATGAATTTGATTTAGAGGAAATAAACTGAGCTTATTTGCCTCTCTGTCATGTGACACGCAAATGTCAATTTAGACTAAACTGAATGTATAAGATTCAAAACTCCACACACTCATTCATACCTCATACGTTTGGAAGCTGTCAGCCGTTTCCTCACCGTTTTTCCCCTCCTCATCTTCACCTGAGCTGCAGAAAAAAAAATAAAATTCCTCTTTAATGAAGGTTAAAATACACGCCGCTATATGACCTAAAGACTGCCTTCATGATCATCCCGTTTCTGTATATCATCCATTCAGCTTTGCGATATTATGCCTTCTGGACTGAGTGCAGGAGGTGGGAAACAAAAAGATCCTACCTAAATTAACATCTATAGCATGAAGCTGTAGCAGAGCTGGAGAGCTCCTTCAGTGAGAGATTGCTGCATCCTAAATAAATCAGGGAGCGTTATCGCAGATCCTTCCTCCCAGCAGCTGTAAGACTTTATAACCATCACTGTTCTCAACAACCTCAATAAGTTGTTACATTTATACTGATTTTGCTGTTTCTATCTTACTCAGCTGAATAACATGCTGCTGTCATTTTGCACATCTCTGATGTTGCTGCTATTTTCAAATGTCCATTACTGTAAAAATTTCCATAGCTGTATATTGGTTATTGATTCTCCAGGTGCACTATAATCTTTTTGCTGCTGTAAACACCAGACTTTCCCCATTGTGGGACAATAAAGGGATTTTCTATTCTATTTAATTTATATAAGTTACACTCATAATTACACCAATTTGATTTAATTTCAAATCTGACACCTGTGCATAAGTAACATGTCATTTTATTGATAATAAACACAGTGCTTTAGAAAACTGAGATTTACATTAAACGATAAACCAGAGGTGCAATAGGTGACGTCTTCCAACGGCTCCACTACATTTAAGGGGTATAAGAGTAAATGGGTCACATAACAAATTGCCAAAAACCATGGGTCACTTTTCTATTACTATACAACTATGCTTGGTGTGTTGGTCTGTCACATCAAAACCCAAATGTCTCAGAGCAAATTTTTGATTCTTTTATAATTACTGTACATAGTTGGAGGCAGTAGTCTAGTTTAAAAAAAAAAAAAAAAAAAAAGAAGGGGGTTGGTGGAATTTATTTAGTTGTTTTTTGATTCACAGACATTCTGGTCATATTCATAACCCCCCCCCACCCCCGAAAGAAAAAAAAAAAAAAAAAAAAAAAAAAAAATGGACTTTGTTTCCGAGTTTGAAGATGTTTTTATTCCCATTACAGGAAGCGCTTCCAATTCAAAAGGTCAGAAATAGTGTTGAGTTAGAAGCTTTATATAGTAGCCGAAAAATTGCTTTTTCTTCTGGTTCAATTTGCATGTTTTCTAAGCCAAAACAAGTTTGGGAAACTTAGAAACAAAGTACAGTGGATTGTTTTATACTATTTTGGAAGCATACTTGGCTTAATTAACAGATTCTATTAACCTAAAGCACTATGCATGGTATGGTTGTTACATGTCAGGTATGTCGGTCATTGACCTTGACCAAGGCACCTTACAGTAGAACTGCAGTCAGTCCCTGGACTGGCATGGCTATCACAGCCCCTACATAGTTAGGGACTCATTTCCCAATGGGATCAGCTTCATAGCCGTGATTTGATTTATTTTGCTCAGGCCACTCGTAAACCCAAAGCCCGCCCAATGTTGAAAGGGCAATATTATTGCCATTAGTGTTAATATATAGTAGAAATGTTACACATTCAGTAATAAAATGTCACGGGGGAATGTATGGGAGGATGATTTTTAGATTTTTTTTTTAAGAAGGTGGATGCCATCCCCCCTCAACTCGAGTACTGGTTGGAGGAAACATTTCTCGACTCTGACCTGCTTTTTTCCTTCTCCTCTGCAGGTGGCAGGGCGGGTAGAACGTACATGTCATCCACTTCATTTCTCCTCACACTAGAAAGGCTGGGTAAAGGCTCCTTACTGCAGTGGGGGACAGAAGTGAGGAATATTTCAGATTGGACTTCAGCAGATTTCTGTGAAAACATTTCCCACTGCTGCTCACCTATGATCTCCAAGTGCAGCTTTGATAGCATGTCTCTTCAGGAACGTCCTCAGAAGTTTCTCATTGGTCTGTTTGGACTGACTGGTCAGCTCCTCTTTCCTCTGCCTCCTCAGAGCCTGCACAGGAAAGACTCCATGTTATTAAACCAGGTGAGCATCGCACCCTTACAGTGATCACCTCTGCTGCTCTCACCAGGGTCTGCTTCTTCAACATGGGAGCATCTCCATCAAACACAAACACTGGCCTTATTCGGAAGAACAGTAATTTACAGATGCGGTTGAACAGAGTGAGGAGGTGGGCGTTCTGGACGCTGTTGCCTTCACGGTCCCTCACCCCTTTCACTGCCTGGTTCAGCCATATGCTGATATCTGAGACAGACTGGTTAAGGTGCTTTGGGTGACTCAACATTGGTAGCGATTCATTCATGCAATTCGCAGGTAAATACGGGACATCTTAATAACAAGAAACAATAACAAAGTTTAGGATACCGACAGCGAGGATCTTTCCTTCCAGAGTCTCGGGGTTGATTGGTTTCCCTGTGCTCTCCAGGAGTCTCCAAAGTCCATGAACTCCCATGATAACAACTCAATATAAACACCGAGGAAAGTCTAACCAGGACCTTAGAAAATTAAACAAATGAATGAGACAAAAGAAATGTGGTAACTGGGATGTTTTTGTAGCGCTTCTTAATTCCGTAATGCAACCCAGTCAATATTCAAAGGTTCCGCTATCCTACGTAGCCTTGTTTACAAAAAAAAAAAATCAACAAAAACACACACAAAAAACAGCAATACATTTTTAAAGGTGTTATGAAGATAAATTGTGACGCTACATTTTGGGGTGTATCGTTTATTATTATTATTTTTTTGACCGGAAGTTTAGCCTGAAAGTCCAGCCTAGGAAAGAACAAAAACCCGAAAGTGCTGTTGTGAAAAGCCAACCATGTCCGGGTAGCAGAGCTAACAGCTTCGTTTTAACTGAGGGGGGAGGTGTACTACATCTTTCCGTGGTATGTAAACAAATATTTAATATTTAAATTCTAAGATTTTTTTCTCACAGTCAATTGGAACTGATTTTGTTAAACGTGATCTTACTTTATGAGTGTTCGATGCTATAGTTTTGCTGACAAAGTGAGTTATCTTAGTCAACAGCTAGCCAAACGGCTAAGTGTTGCTACGTAGTGACCTTATCAGCTCTCAGCTGATAAAAGGTGATCACTGACGGACGGTAACTTGATTCGTAAACAAACAATATTTCCGTTGTTGCTGAATAATCGCTTTATCTCCTGTTTATTATCACAGCTTGAAGAACCGCCAGGCTATAAATAAAGTCCCGTCTGCGCCACCATGGCTGCTGTTGCTGTTGGAAGAGGTTGGTAGTTTGTTAGTTTATGCTCCTGTTTGTACTAAAATAACCATACAGATGATGTCATCATTTTACCAAGGAGGCCACAATTGTTAAATGTTTTCTAAAGCTGGACATTGTGAACAATTTAGTATGTTTTTATTGACCAATGTTTGTCCAAGTAATTAGTTTTGTTTGGGTTGGCTGAATATGATAAGGCCCAAATATCTACACTAATCTGACCGCCTGATTGAGGATTTAACTAGTTTAAAATCATCTTTCAGTACAGTAAGAAATAAAATGCTAAAAGCTACAACCATTACAACAACTTTTTCTCTGCAAATCTTAGTTTTTCTCTCCATTCTCACCTCTTGCAACAAAAGCCAAGAATCTCCTTCTTTTTTATTTTTCACATTTAGTTTACACAAGTTTTCATTTTTTTTAATGGAATTATTTATACATCTGTTACTGAGATGAGCCGACATTCTTACTTTTTTGTTTTTCAAGGTTCTGCCGTCGGGCCTATTCGAGGAGCAGGCGATGGGATGGAAACTGAAAAGTCACCAGCCATACTTGAAGTCGTCACAGACGCCCCGCCGACGCTTTTACCTGAACTTCCTCTCCTCAAAGTAGCTAGCCCAAAGCACAACCCAAAACCTACGCATGTCACACATCCCACTGCCCCACAGCCTCTTGGGGTACTTCATCTGGGAAAAGTCCAGAGAGAGGCATGTACAGAAGTGGAAGCTGTTAGGATCATTGTGCCGCGAGCTGCTATCTCTCGGAGCGGCCGAGTGGCAACATCTGAAGGGAAAGACGAGGCGGGACAGCAGGCCGAAGAGCAGGGCCCTCCTCTGTTGGTGGAGGACTGGAGAGGGCAGCTGGAGAAGCTGCAGAACTCTGAACGCCGGCTTCTGCAGGACAAAGAAGGGCTTTCCAATCAGCTCCGTGTGCAGACAGAGGTACAAATCAAATAAAACCAGACAGATTTCTCAGTTAAATGTGTTAGAATATTTAGAAAAATATTATGTAAGGTTCAAATACTCTGCAACATCTTTAATTTTCAAGGCTTGTTCTTGTTTACAGAATTTACCATAGTTATGTATGTATTATGCTTGTGAATGTAAATTTTGATCTACATTAAATACTTTGCTTTATTCTCTGCCAGGTGAACCGGGAACTTAAGAAACTGTTGGTAGCATCCATGGGTGATGACCTTCAGTACCAGTTTGAGCGCCTTGCGCGGGAGAAAAACCAGCTCATCTTGGAGAACGAGGCTTTAGGCCGAAGTCTTGCGCACACTGCAGAGCAGCTGGAACGCATGAGTATCCAGTGTGATGTCTGGAGGAGCAAGTTCCTGGCCAGCAGGTGGGACACGCTCCACTTGATTTTGTCTTTGTTGGTAGGAATGGAAAAAAAAAAAACAATCTGAAAAGTATTTCTCTTAGAACATAAGCTCCATTTTCACATTGGTTTAAATAAATGTTGCCTCACCAGAGTCATGGCAGAGGAACTGACATATGCCAGAGCAGCTCTACAGAGGCAAATCAGGGAGGCCCAAGGAGCAATTCAGGACCTGCTACTGGAGAGGGAGGAGTTCTCCAGGGACATGGTGCTCAGCCACAGGTGAAACTACCACTGTCATAGCCTAAGGGCCTTTCTCAATCAGTGGCTACTCTCTCTTTCTCTACTCGCTGCTGAACTGAGTGCCCTTGATGGTGTTATAGGGTATAACTACAACCTCGGCTTTTGCGATAGCCTTCCCTCACACTAATGGAACAGGAAGCTGTCACCAAGCTCTGGCAGTAACATTAAAGAATGCTTTAGATCGTAACGCTTTAGTTGAACGCCAGTGGGTGAAACATATCTACCATTTATTAGGGGTGTGCATTGGCACTGCCCTCACGATTCGATTCGATTACTATTCACCAGGTAACGGTTCGATTCAATTTGATTCTACGATGCATTGCGATGCATCAAAATCCCATTGACTTCGTAAAATCCAAAATGTGACCAGATATCCGCTTTCCAAGCTTTTGGTGCGTTTTTAATTAGACCTACCTGTCTATCGCGGTCATCTCCCTCCGCCTCAGCCATCTTGATTGTTGTTGGTATGCCCCCGAAAGTAATTGAAACTTCACAACTTGTCCATTTGAGGACAGAAAATAAACAGTGACATAATCGATTATGGCACGTTGCCGCATCGATGCTGAATCGTGCATGCCCCGCACTGCAATGCATCGCTGAATCGATTATTGTTTACACCCCTACCATTTAGGACACCGAGGTTTGGACGCCGGTGTTTTTTCTGTTATCACTGTTATCAAATAAAAGTGTAAAGATGCCATTTCCTTTTAAAAGCAGTATCTATTTTAAAGCAGGATTAAATCTCATGATTTGGTATTTTGTGGAACCCCTCTGCTTTCCTAAAAAGCTAAAAAGTCTGATGTATGAATCCTTATTTCTGCATGTTTCTGTGTACATTTCTTTATAACATTTTCATTCACATTAAAGCTGAAAGTACCATCTGGAACACCCTTCCTTTCTTCTTATTAAAATACTAGGAACCCACTGTGTTTTAAGGTAACCATGGCAACAGTGAGCAGCAAGAGGAATCTGGAAACAGACTCTATGAGGGCCAAACCTGTCATTCCTTTAGAATCATGTGCAACGTAATGCAGCCATTTATGATTAATCTTGGCTGTCCACACCTTGTAGAAAAAAAATCATCACCATGTGTTCTTCAGAGAATAATGGAACACTTAGATGATTTCTATGCAGTTTATGCTCCTTATCACACTAACATGAGGCACATTTCCATCTTTGCTTGAAAAACAGTGGAAGATTTAAAGTTTACTTTTGATTAAGGGTCTTTCCATCATATTTTGAGGCACGTTACTCTGTAAGTCTGCATTAATTGTTTAAGTTTAAAAGCTCAACTTTATAATAAGAAACAGTGGGTTTGATCCTCCTGGAGTAAAAAAAAAAAAAAACTGTATTTTTATTTCAATAGTTTTAATGGTCAGCTTTAAGGCACTGGTTCTTCTCCATATTTTGCTTTCTGTGGGGATTTTTCTTTGTGATTCTAATTCTCTATTTCAATGAGAAACTGATTTATATTTTATTTTAATTTTATGTGCTCCACACGCCCACTTTATTTGGATGAGCTGTTTGCACAGAAAACTGATCCGTCACAGCAAATAAAGAGATTAAAAAAGTCAAAAAATTATAAGCTTTTGTTTAGGTCATGTTATGAGTAATTATTGAGTTTAATCGACCTTTGTTCTTTGTGTATTCAGATCCCTGGAACAGCTCCTGGTGTCCTTGCAGTGGGGCAGACAACAGACATACTACCCCAGTGCACAGCCGCTTAGCTTCGGTGAGCTGGCTGCAGCCAATCACAAGCTAGCAGACGCCATTAACTCCCATCTATTGGGCAAAAACGACACTAAAAGCAACACTGGGAAGAGCAGCGGTGCACCAGCAGAGCAGCTCTGCAGCACGCCAGCAGAGAAGATGGCTGAGAAGGTAGCAGTTTCACATATCTTTTCTTTCCTTAAAATTGCTAGTTTTAGAATCCAACAACTGATTTCTTTACATTTTCTTCACTCTTAGGTGCTGAAGGTGTTGAATCCAATTTCTTGTTCAGAAAACAAGGAAGAACCTCCTCTCTGTGAATCCCCCTCTCCAAACTTTCTGAACAGTAAGAAGAGCATCGGCAGGTTTCATCCTTATACCCGCTATGAGAACATAACCTTCAACTGCTGTGAGCGCTGCACCGGGGACATCATAGTATTATAAACCTCATTGGACACACAGAGCATCAGTCCGTTTTGTTTTTCTGTGAAAAACTTGTCAGACTACTGGTGTAGCTGTTTTATTGCATGGTTCGATCCTGTCATTTCAGTTAACATAAAAAAGGAATTAGGGAAGAAATTTTAGCCCAATATCAACCATGTTTAAAACTAGATGAGGGAGTCAGTGTTATGATGTGACTGCCAGCTCAGTTTTATCTGTAATATTAAGCTGGAATTGATGTTTCTTAACAGCTTTCTTCGTACTGCCATGAGCTTTTAGGTGAGGAGGCAGATGCAAGGGCTTGCACATAAAAAAGTGTGTGCATCTTTTTATTAAGGCTGCTTTTTTTTGTTTTTGTGATGTTTTAGTTTAGTTTTTTTGGAGGGGGGGCGAGTAGGATGCTTTAAAATCAGTAATAACACTCAGCAGATTCAGTGTTTTAAAGGTGAACTGATGCTACTATGATGTGCAGTTTTGCTGAAATGTCAGATACCTTTTTTTTCTGGAATACACTATGTATTTGCTACTTATATACTGCAGTATTTAAATAAATACTATACCTGCTGTATAGTATTTAGTTTTGTTTCATCCCTCTTGAAATGTAGTTATAGGTGTGATTTCAGTTACCATGAAACTGTTTCAAAACATTATTTATGAATCTTTTTGATTTCTGTCAGACAAAAAATAAAGACCAAAGAAGTTTCTACCTTTTTAATAAAAGATATTTTTGTCATTTGTACACAGTGAAAAGTTTCTTTACCACCTTCCATGTTGATTTTGATACATTGTCCTTTGTTATCTAGTTATCCTGTCACTCATCATGCCACCAGATCCTGGACTTGTCTGTATTTTTTCTTGCTTCCATCTGGCTTTTGAGCGACGTGCGTATTTTTGTTGCCCCATCCGATCCTTTTCTGGCGCCATTTGCTTCAATCATTCTGTCAGTATTGGATTTGTAGATTTCCTGGCTCTTAAATGTTCTCCCAGTGTGTTTCGCTTCAGATCTCAGGGACACATTCCCATACACTTTCTGTTTATTTCCAGTTCTGGGTCTGTTATTTGATTCCTCTGCCTGCGGCTGCCTTTGATAGAAGCCCTCGTGTTTCCGCGTCGGCACAAACTTTAAGGCCTCTTCCCATTTCCCTGTATCTTTGACAGTCAGCATGATGCGAATCATCTGGTCCAGAGTCAGATTTTTGGCTCCCATGTCCCAGTGAAGAAACTCATCAAGAGGTAAGCGAGCCGTTGCTAGATTTAGGCGCTTTGCGTTGGCCAGAGACAATCCAGACTGGATGGACCTATCCACCAAGGCACCAATGATGTAGACCTTGGAGTGGTCAAAGCTGCGGAGGACATTGGGGGAGTCAGCAGTGAGGTAAACCAGCTGTTCCCTGGGAAACAGCTTAATATAATGCTGCTCAGTGCTGGTGATGAACAGGCGCTCCCAGGTCTCTTCACCATATCGTTTCAGCAGCTCCGTCTTGTAGAACCCATCTGGGTGAAGGTTACAAAAATGTAGGTGAAACGGCTCGGCTGCACGTCGGTTCCACCCTTCCACTTCCATCAGCTGGGAGACGGTGTTCTCTATCTCCCTTCTAGACATGTTGGACTCGTAGCTCATATCAAACACAATTGGTTGACCGAACATCATGGCCTGGGCAGTTCTCCAGGCCAGCAGTTTGTCCAGGGAGCGGTCCCAGTACTGGAGAAACATGGTGTTTTTCAGAGTACGATCCCCTTCTCCATCACCACTGCTCTCCATCATGGCTGCTCTGTCAGCCTTCTTCTTCAGCTGCTTCTCCTTCCGGGCTAGTTTATGTCCCTCCTTGATGGCCAGGTATTTCAGGTACTTTTTTCTGGAAGACTTGGTGGTGAGATCTGCAAGCGTCCTCACCTCCTCCTCTGTCATTTCCTGAGGTACAAGCTTCCCAGCTTGACGCCACATAGACACCAGTTCACGGGTTGCCTCCAATGAGGAACTGCCCTTTATATCATCACCTTCATCTTCCAGACCACCATCCTCCTCACTTGTTTCCTCTTCCCGGGTTTGTCTTTGCTCCTGGAATGTAGCCTGGGATCTCATTACAGATTTCCATTTGTCTAGATCAAGAGCTTCTTTTATCTCTGATGGATCTTCTTTAGTTCCGAGGCCATCTTTCCTCAAAGGTTTACCTGCACAGATGTGTCTGACCAGGAAGGACCCTCTGTAAGGTTTAACACCAAAGGCTGGTTTGTTTGCGGATGTCAAAAAAGTCCTTTTCAAAAGCGAAATGCAGCATCTGGTAGAGAGGTGCCGCAACATAATAGGAAAAACAGAACAACGGCTTCCTCAAAAGAATTGTCAAAAACTATTTGCTGAACACGAAAAACCCGGAAATGATTTAACGAGATTATCTTCCCATTCTCTTTTCATAAACCGGTCACAGAAAAAAACAGGTAGATTGTATTAAATATCATGAAAAGAAAGATATTCGTCCCCACATGTGTTTAATATATACATCCTAAAAGTGTCGGAAGGTCACGTTGTTACACGGTGTCACATTATAATGTGTCGTACTACTCGTTCTCGCGGTTCTGCTTCTTCTTCTTAGTTGTTTGCGGTTGGCAAACAACTATATGGTGCATTACCGCCACCAACCAGTAAGGAGTGTGGATTAGGACAAACATGCTAAAAAACAAACAAACAAAAAAAACTATATTCTTTTCGCTAAACCTGTTACCAATAAATAATGAAACATAATGTTATAACCTAATCTAAGTGCTTTTCCTTAAAATATTGTGTTCTCGCGGTTGGCAAACAACTTCTGATATGCATCACCGCCATCTTCCAAAATAGAGTGGGGGACAGGAAGGCCCCAGCATTTCTATCTAAATTCTATTAAATAATCGTGGATCTTAAAAAATATAAATAAACTAAGTCTGGTCCATTGCCTGCAGCTATTAATTGTTCATGTTTTTCTATAATTAGCTGTATTTTGGTTATTTTATTTTACTCAAGACAATATTTTATTGTTTATCTTTTAACTCTTCACTAGTAAATTATAATGCATTTTTTCTAAGGTTCACAGCCATGTGACATTTTTTTCCTATAATCTTTTTACTGCTTTAAACACTAGAATTTCCCCATTGTGGGACAATAAAGGGATTTTCTATTATTCTATTCTGTTTTTATACTTAGTGTAATAAATAATGACAGGTTATAGAGTTTCTAATTCTACACAATAGCTAGAATCGCCTTTTATTTCCTGTTTAAAATACATTTGATCTCTGATTTTCTTATTTTAAATGGAACATCTATAGCTGTTTTAAAAGCTCCATGCGTTGCAAACGTATCTGCTATTTCATTTCCATCTACTCCCATATGAGATGGAACACATATAAATACAACTTCTTTCTTAGATCTGAACAGTCTATATAAAAGTCTGGATGATTTGCAGAAAAATAATTTGCTTTGAATCTGATTTCTTATTTTGAATACTGGCTAATACAGTACTAGAATTCGCAATTATTAAAGCTTTCTCTTGCCACATATTCAGAGTAAAATTTCCGAAATGTCCTAAATAGAAACTCAATTAATAAAAAAAAAAAATGGTTTTGAATATAATGTAGTTGCTTTTCTTGTTTCTTGGGGAATCTTAACTAAAGGCACACACAATTGACGTAACTTCCGTTTGTCAGCAGCAGCAGCAAAGCTAACCTCATAGCCTGTAAAATGAGTTTCTTTTTACCAAAACTAACGAGTAAAAAAGACATAGACGAAGTGATCAAAGGTGTAGCGGAGAAAGTTTTAGTTCTGCGGTTTGGAAGAGATGATGACTCAGTTTGTCTCCAGATCGACGAGATCGTAAGTGTGACTTTAATAAGAAAACATCCGCTCTGAAAATGCAGTGGCTGAACTTTTTCCTCTTGTGTTTTTTTTCTTTTTTTTTTTCAGCTGTCAAAAACTGCTCACGATCTGAGTAACATGGCATCCATCTACATCGTTGATGTGGACAAAGCTCCTATTTACACCAGATACTTTGACATCAGCTACATTCCCTCCACTGTGTTCTTTTTTAATGGACAACACATGAAAGTTGATTATGGGTATGTTGAGGAAATGGGTTAGTATTTGCATCAGCAATTAAAATACCACCCAAGTCTATTTAAGGGAACTATAACTTAGTGATAAAAGCAGAAATGAAGGGCATTTGATCATTCACTTTTTGCTAATTCATTTTATGGAAGTGATTTATTTTATATTATTTGTTATCCTAAACTATTTTATAAATATCAAAATCTATTACATTCTGGTCCTTTGAGAATGTTTAAGAATGTAAGCATTTCCAAATATCCAAGAATGCACTTGGGGAAAATAACTGATGGGATAATACACAAACATTAGGACAAAATGAAGTTTTTATCTTAGACATTTCCAACAAGATTATATAGAACAGATACAAATGAAAAAAAATGTATATATATATATATAATAATAATAAACATGGAAACCAGAAAAAAAAATGTTTTATTCTTTTGATGAAACACTAAAATTATACATAAACATAAGCAGTGATATTAAAATAATGGTAACGGAAGTGAGAATAAACTGGTAAGACAGATAAAAAAATGAAATTGAATTGAATTCAAGGAATTTAGGAAATCGATGAGGCACAAATAAGATGTAAAGTGAGGGAAAAGATAGTTTAAAGTGAAATTAAGTGAGCAATGAACTGAAGATAAGGTTGGACATTACAAATAATTTCAAAAATGGATCCAGTTTATTTTCAGTCATTTTAAAGTGCTGTAAGATTGTTGCACTTTTATACTGAAAAAAAAATTCTGGATATCTGCTTTAAAATATTGTTTATTTGATATTCTAAATTTGCTGGTAATATAGCTGTGTAGAACAAGTGCTAGTTGTCGGAATAATTCTTAGTAAGTGCTCTTATCAGCTACTTTTTCAAGTTAACGTGTTCAGTAACAGATGAGATTAAAACATTTTAATGCATTTGAGCATCTGGACATTCATCCACATTAGAGACACAAACTTACAGGTAAGATTGGGGCAGAAAATGGGATCCAATATCACATTAAAACAAAATATCTTGTGTAATCCGTTCAATAAAGAAAGATCTGAGGGCAATATTCCAACCAAGTGCTAGAGGAATGTACCTAAAATAGTAGTGAGTGATATTTTGCTTATTTTAATTAGACATGTATTATTATATTACAGTAGTGTTTATTCATTTTTTATGTCTTTCCAGCTCTCCAGATCACACTAAGTTTGTTGGCAGCTTTAAAACCAAACAGGATTTCATAGACCTGATCGAGGTGATTTACAGAGGAGCCATGAGGGGGAAAATGATTGTCCAGAGTCCCATAGATCCAAAGAATATTCCAAAGTATGATCTCGTCTACCATGGGATTTAGCTTCATTCTTCCAAGGCCAAATATTAAAGAGACTTGTTATTCTGTTGACTGAAAAAGCCACCAAATCCTCCTCTTATGTATTTGATGGAAGTTGCTGGAAACTGTTTCAGTAGTTTATAGTGTTGCCTTGTGTTCATTCTGTTTTATCTAGAATATTTATTTTTATTTCATTCCTAATGTGACAGCAATTGTGTGGATGAGGATATTGTTTCCTTTGTTAGAGGCAGAAGTTATGTTTCCCATGGAAAATAGCCACTGACCAGCTAAAGAACTTTAAATGTATCTGTAGTATAGTAATAATAAAAAAAAAAAAAAAAAAAAAAAAAAAAAATACTTGTGATAATAAAGCAGCTTAAAGACCTTGTTTCAGTGTTTATTGTCTTCATTCTACTTAAAGGTGTGAATTATTAGTATAGTCTCTTTAGCAAATAGCCTACTAACAGTTACTCTCTATATCCATCATCCAGTTATCCTATTGCTGGCATCACACTTATAGATAAGGGATGTAACAAAGCTTTATGAGGAACCAGCTTTTAAAATTATTCTCTTTTTGGTTGGTTGATTTGACTTTATTAATCTCACAGTGGAGAAATGTACTCGTGACTTCCGACTCAAATAGTCAACAAAGAGAAGAAAGTGCCCAAGGAAGAAAAAAAGGTGCATGGAATATATACAGTGCGTCCACATATATGACAGCTTTTGTTTTTTGTATTTCATGTCCATCTATTTTTTTTTTTTATAAACTATACATTCTTCTGTAAATTATACAATTTAGCTATAATTTGAGTTTTCTAGTTGTCTAGATGCTTACAATTGTCAATAAACTTCTGGAAAAAAGAAAACTCGAAGGTTTGCGTCATAGGTTGTTTATCTTTTCTCCTCATTAGATGACAGGAACAATATTTGCTGTTTTAAACACATTACAGCTGACCCAAGCTTACCAGCTGCTTAACAGAACATTCAACACAAAGTTTAACAGTTTCATCCATAAACTGTGACAGAGTGTCCATTGTGATTCACATATGTGTGCTATATGTGAAAAAAAATCCTTGTGCGTGTACTGAAATTAAATCACTGACCTTATTTTGTTAAACTTAGGAAAAGTAACCAGTGACTAATAATGAGGTTTACAGATTTATTTTATGATAACAGCAATATTTTAAATCATTCAGATAAAAAAATTATGTAAATTGTTCTCTTAGGGAGTATAAAAAACTGTGTTAATCGATTCCACTGCCGTTAATTCATTTAATTAAAAATTCTAGGTTATATAATAATTAACCACCAATATTGCCCAGCTTGTTGATTGCACAATGCAATCTGTTTGATAAAAAATGCAATTATAAATTCATTAGCAGTTTTTTGCTAGCCAGAAAATTTCATGATTCTGATAGATTTACCTGGAAGAGAGATATTCCTGTTAGTTCAGAAACAGTTGATAAAGATTTGAGGTGGATCAACGTTCCTTTTGTAATAATAATAGTGAAACTCTTGAACATTTGTTTTACCTGTGTCCTCCTACAAATCGCTTCTGGAAAGAGTTGAAAGATTGTATTTCTTATTAATGATTAATGATGTCTCCCCATTTGCCTTAAATCCCGTCATTTAAGGCAAATGGGGAGACCATCTTCCCCAGCCTGTTTCTGATACTATTAAAATCCTCCTGTTGTTGGGTATATATCTACTGTACTAACTGAAGAAATCCTAAACATTCCTTTCATTGGTTTATTAATGACTTTAAAACCTTTTTTTCTTCTCCTAAAACGATAAAAAAAAATATGCCAAAAAATTTAGTCTTGAATTCTCCCAACATCCACCTTTTATGTTTTTCATATTCCTATGGTTTTTTCTATGTTTGATTTAAATGTTTTTTGAGATAAATCCCGTGCTATTTGTTCTACTTTTGTTTTTTAATTGCAATTAATCTTAATCTGTTCATGTACACTTTTGCCATCACAGTATTTTTTTTTCATGTAAATGTCAATGGTTTAATAAAAATAGAATAATAAGTTTTATTTTGAAAGTCGGTGTCTACAGGAAGTACTTGCCTAACGTAAGCGGAAGTAGTTGTCACGTGTCACATGTGAATGACTGCGACCTTGTTGATCTAGGCTTAAATTTATGAGAACACAGTATTTCGCTAGTGTTTTTTTAAAAATGCTTGTGACTGAATGTGTCGGGGTAACTTTCTGTTTTTTGTAGCATCGCTCGGTACAACATGATGTCATTTGTTAAGGCTGCAGCGCGCGGCCTGAATGCAATCTGCAGAGCTCACAGCCAACAAGGTAGGAAGTTTGTGATAGAAAATGTTAGAAAATACAAACAATATTTAGTGAATCCTTGGAGGAGTTTAGGAACAATTACTTATATATGTATATTGTAAACAGAAAATAAATGTTTTCTGAATCACTAGTTTGATACATCGAGTTATAGATGAATATGATTGTAAACCATTGTGTTCCCATGGTCCACCCAATTTTATACGATAGAGCTTTACACACAAAGCTTTTACACGCATATATAACCCAAAGCCAAAAAAAAATAAATAAATAAATACTTATACTTATTTCAGGTTTGATTTTCAGGTAAGCACGTTCTATTTAGTTAATATCTAGAGGAAACTTCTAACCCAGGTCTCAACTCTTCTTCTAACCAATTTTTATTTACTAATCACCAAAATGACATTACAGAATAATTACATTGTAATAACATCATTAATAGTTTATTTTTTATCTTCGCTACACTGAAATTAAATGAGAAGTTGTGAGTTTTAGCATTAAAATAGACAATGCTGTGGACAGCGTGATATTCTTGAAACAAATTTGCTTAAATCTGTTAATTTTTTTTTATACTCCACAGCTCCTTTGCACAGCTGTTTGAGAATCAGTGCTGCCGGCCTGAAGACATATCAGATCACTCCAGACTACAGCAGTAAGACTTCATCCTCTCATCCGCAGATTCATGCCTCCACTGATTACAGTTGGGACAAAAAGGATCCATACTCCTGGCAGATTATGGTGTAAAATCAAGATAAGATAAGATAAGATTCAGAAGGGCATCAATAAAAAAAAAAAAAAAAGATTGAAGTATTATTTTATAGTCAAAAGTTATTTCTACATTTCATAACAGTCAATAGAAAATCTTTGTTGTCTTACAGTAGTCAAACTTCCTTAATAAAATGTCAAATTTATCAGAATGGCTGACCAGATTTGTGAATATTTCCACAGGTGATTATTTATCCACGTAGGCCTCCTTACCATCCCACTAATCTATAGATCAGCAGATCAGTAATGGGAATAAGTGAGTTTAGGCTTTACTGAATTCTCTCCAGTAATTCTAATATGTCATGTTTAACACTTAATGGATGCAGGTTTTAGAGTTTAGTAGATTATTTGTTATCATGTTGTTGTTTTCGACTGATGTCCCACATCTGAACCTGTTTTTGTCATTTTTAACCCTTCCCTTCTCTTAAAGGTGTTGTGCTACCAGAGAAACCCAAACTGAAGTTTCTGAACAAGGTGCCGAACCTAAAGAAAGCCACAAAAGAGAGTAAGAAGCTGCGGGATATCCAAGGACCAGCCAAGGCAGCAAATTCCTTCACTACAGGGCAGTATGCCATCATTGTGAGTGCACTGATAATTCACATATTTCACATATTACAATTCAACTTTATTGTCATTACAATGTCACAAGTTAAAAGCAACAAAATGTAGTTTGCATCTATCCACATGTGCTATACAGGATATAAATATTTATTTAAATGTGTACAAACCTATTTATGTATGGACTTAAACTGTATATATAAATAAAGAGTAATTGTAAGAGGCTATAAAATAAATAAATATGGAAGCCATATACAGATTTTACCGGATATATTACAAATTTCACTGCTCTAATGGGGTAAAGGTATAAAAACTTTGTGTTTTTATTTTTAAATTTTCATGTTAAGCAATTTTATTTAATCATATTTGATTAATTAAAGTGTATTCCATCTGTTGTATCTCCAGTTTTTAACTATTCTGTAATGTCAAATTGTATAAAAGTTTAAAGTTAGACCCTTGAATGAAACACAAACTTTCCTGCTTTACATTTCAGGCCATGGGTGGAGGCTACCTGCACTGGGGTCATTTAGAGATGATCCGTCTAACAATTAACCGAAAAATAGATGCCCGCACAACGTTCGCCCGTTGGCGTATCAATGCCCCGTACAAACCAATCACACGTAAAGGCCTGGGCCAGCGCATGGGCGGAGGGAAAGGAGCCATCGACCATTACGTGACACCGGTCCGGTACGGACGTTTGATTGTGGAGGTGGGAGGAAAGATAGAGCTGGGAGAGGTTGAGCATATCTTGACTGAAGTGGCCAAGAAGCTGCCTTTTCCTGCTAAGGTGAGATCACAGAGATTACTGACTATTTTTCTGAGTATGTGGATGATACTGCAAGAAGAGTTCTCTTCCTGTGGTTAGAGGTTTGCAGAAGCTGTCGTTTTTGATCAAAGAGCTGATTTGGCTCTATTTTGCTCATATTCAAAACAGTAACCACCTAAATAACCCTGATCTAACGTGTGTATAACCTACATATAAGCTTGATTTAAGTAAAACAAAAAAAAAATCTCTGCATCATTAGAAATTGTGATGCTCATGGTGGCTGCATGTCACACTAGCTCTACTGTTTTCATTCTAATGGGCTGTTCTAGAATAGCTTAGTTTCCTTTGCACGTGGACCAGGGTTTCTTTTTTTGGGTGTTTATCTTCTCTGCTGTTGGATGCTGTGTAGCTGGGGGGATTTTAGCTGGTGTCTTTTTTGTTTTAGGGCGTTTGTTATGATGCTGTAACCATAAGAAGTTTTTTTTTGTGTGCAAGGAGCAGCTGATTAAAATCACTAAAGTTGAAAAAATACAACTACTTTCACAAGTCTAAGATGAGTTGGAAAGGACGAGCCAAGAATGCAAAGCAGGGGAAAGGAGAAGAGAGAAATAGAGGAAAAACCAAACCAGCTCTTAGATCATTTGTTATGGGAAATGTGAAATCTTTTTCAAATAAGGTAGAAGAACCCAGGCTTCAGTAGAGTCCCAGTCTGAAAATATGGAGTGCAGTATGATGTGTTTCTCTGAAACATGGCTGCATCCTCATCAACAGTGTCTCTCTGCATGACTTTCTGATCATACAAGCAAATAGAAATTTAAATAAGGCTGGAAAATTTTCATTCATTTTATAATCACGCAGTACGGCTTCCGATGGCTATTTATTTCCATTTTCTTACAGTTTTTATTTATTACTACTTGTAATTAGTCTGGGTGTTTAATGTCTATAATAATGTTGCTGGACTCAACCTTGAGGGAAGCAAAATAATTGTGATCTGTGAAGATACTTGATTATTATTATTTTTTTCAATAAAGAAAACAGTAAAATAATATGAGCTTGTCCTAATCCTGTGTAAGAAGTAGAAAGTGAGATATTCTGTTAAAAAAACAAGCTAAAGTCAGGAACCCCTAAAAAAAATTTATTAACATCTGGTTTGAAAACTGCTGAGTATTAAAGGAAAACCCTGAAAAATCTCAGCAGACGTGAAGGACCTTCTAAAATAATTGGTATAGATTATAAAAACGGCACAAAGAGGCAATTTAAGAGAAAAGGATCAAGCAGAGAGAAGAAAACAATTATGATGCAGTTGCATCTAAGGGGCCCACATCCAAATAGAGGATGCTACTCAGATGAGCCAAAACTTAACAAGGCAAAAACTAAATTTTAAGCTCAGAGCCTTGAATATGGTCAGCAAGCACACCTTTCCTCCTGTGAAACTCAAGAGGTGGATCAGACACCGTGGGTGTGTCAGCTACATGTGCACAGAAAGCATGTTCAAAATCCATCGCAACATGGACATTGCAATGGCTTATAAAAAAAAAAAAAACATTGCGACGTTTTTATAACGTTGCGACGTTATGAAAAAAAAAAAAAACAGGACATCCCGGTTCCCCCTCCGGCTAGAAGGTTATGGAGTGACCATCTAGATCTTTTGGTATTAGTGCAATTGAGCTATTTTAGGGATCTCTATTGTGTCATTTATGAAATCCAAGATGAGACCTGGATGCTTTTTGGCAGGAAGGAAGGTTGAGAAAAGTTCACTTTGTTTGCAGCATATATGCATCTATGGTTTCACTAAAGCAGCAACACGGCAAGCGAAAAGGCTGTGTATTATGATTTATGTTCTCTGAAATCTGGCTGAAAACATTGTGTATTTTAACAGGTTATGTACTACTCTGAGAACATTTTTTCCTACTTTAATACTCTGTGCACGGGGTATTAAATAGTAATTGCACATTATACATTGCACAAGTTATTGCTGTTTTATTGTCACACTGTAGAGTCTGGCTGCAGCAGGGATGAATGACCTGCAGTAGCGCACCTTTTTACAAACGGTAAAAAGTCTTTCACTAAAAAAGCTCCTCAGCTTTTCTATAGTCTTGTGCTGAAGGTGGAAGGTGTTGTCCATGATGGGTGTAAGCTTAGACAGCCGCCTCCTCTCAGCCTCTTGATCCTTTGAGTCTAGAGTGCAGCCTAGGACAGAAACTGCCTTTCTCACCAGTTTGTTCAAGGTTATAATTTTTTTTTTCCATTTATTATTTCAGGTAATGAGCAGAGAGAGTCTGGAAGAAATGCAAAGAAAACAGGAAGAGATGGAGAAGAACAACCAGAATCCCTGGACCTTTCAGCAGATAGCCCGGGGCAACATGTTGGGCATCAGGAAGGTGCTTAGTCCATTTGACCTGAACAACCATGGACGCTTTACTGGCAAATTTCACCTTCCAGGGAGGGTGTGAGGGACCTGTGGAGCAGCTCACATCATCCAGACCATGAATGAAAGCGTGATGATTATTTCCCTGCTTTCAGGATGATCTTTTTTTTTCATTCTAACATTTTGTCAAGTCATTTTCTTATATCATGTTGGTTCTGGCTCATAGAAAAACTAAATAAAGTATGGAAACGAAATGATTATACTTCATTTATTGAAAACCACAATGCAACATGAAAACATGAAATAATATGCTAATACGCTTTTCTAAGTGTGTTTTTTTAAGTGGTTTTTGCAAACATTTCATTGCATATAAATTACAAGAAAGACATTTTTCCCCCAAAAAAAATAGATAAATAAATAAATTTTTGTACAAAACATTTCTGTAAACTCATCAATTTGCACTATGTGTGTAGATATTTGCCGGTTTAAATGATTGGAGAATTACAGAGTTTATATATTCATGTTTAATTTGATGTTGAGAAACAGCATTTTTTTGAAATATCTCTTTTTGATAACATTTACTTTCCCTCTCATGCATATTTTGGGTCTCTGAAAGTCAGGTGTTTGTTACATATCATCAAACCTTTGATTGTGTGGTTCAATGATTAAATAGCTTGTTTTACAAGTTTTATAACATAAATGTAAACAGTAGATATTTCTACTTGTTTTAAATTAAATTGTTAGTAGATTTATATTGCATATTTACAAATCAGGTGGCGATTTGTAAACATCTAGGTCAAGTATTTTTAACAAATTATAAACCTGAATTGATCCAATTTATTTTCACTTATATTTTAACAGAGATAAGTTACATGTATGGAGGAAAAATAGTCTTTCAAATAACGGTCAATAAAAATCTGATTATGTTAACCTTAACAATAACTTTATCTCAGAATAAAGGGATCTTTGTCCAGAAACACAAATTGAAGTAGAGGGATGAGTTACTGTTTATGGAAATGCAGCAATATAAGGAAACACTTTAAACAGGCGCAAAGTTGAGGTGCTTGTTTTATTGATTTATTTATTCTTTAATGAAAATTCAGTAAAGCAATTTGATGTTACCTCGAACGAGTTTTATTTAGACAAGAGGGAGACTCAACGCATTCATTTTTACACAAACATTTATAGATCTTGAAGTCATTCTGTATCACACTTCCATGCCGATATGTGGCAGTAGGGCGCACCTTTCGCTTTTTTTAAACAAACGCCAAACCTGCGAAGAAAATGAAATATTAGTGCATGCGCAGAGGTTCAAAAAAGTTCCAAACGAGCAGCGCGAAAATACAAGTCGCTATTGCGGGCTTTCATGTTAGTTTTCATTTGAATTCTAAATCACATTATCGCACCTATTTAAGCTGCCTTCCGTTTTATCTCTTTTAGCGAAGCCGAAGGCGTTTGCTAATTAGCTACATTTACCTTACGGTTTCTCCAAAGTTGACATGAAACCCACAAGAGGCTCAAGGCGGCTTTCATCAAAAGCCCCCAACGGGAAAAAGAAACCAGGAAAGACATCAGGATCTACAGCAGACCAAGTGAGAAGAAGCAAACCCGCATCTGTTAGCGATATTAATCTGTTCCTGGAGGAGTTTGTCTCTAAATAATCCCAACTTTGCCTCGTATTTTAGGGTCAGGTGCAAAATAGACATGACAGGATCAACAAATCAAAACCACTGCAGAAAAGGAAAGGTAAGAGGTAATTCTTTACCCAGGTGTGTGTTGTTTAGTTTGATCTTTGTTCCTAACTGGGAAGGAGGTTCCCTTTCAGTGTCGAAGATAAAGAAAGTTCCTGACAGCTGGATACTGACCCCTCCATCCACCATTACCACCATGGAGAACATATTGGACCTTTCCATACTGTGAGTTTCATCTCCTTCACCTATTCACTATAGCAGTAGGACAGCTGGAACATAAACGTTTATTACTATATTTACTAGTTCTGTTCATTTTTTTAGTCTAATTTCATTAAATATCAGGCTTTGACCATATGCCACTGCAGGCAAAACACAAACCCCACATTTAATAACCTGCTAATTTAGGAAAAGGCTTCTTCAGGACTCTAGGGATACAAAAAAGTGAAATACTCACCACTAACCTGCACACAGTGCCTGCATTTAGGTATATTTGATATTTTATTAATGCTTTCATTGAACCAGCAATGGAGAAAACAAACAAACACAAATAAAATCACAATAATACTTTAAGTTGGAGGGGTTTCCTTACAGCATTTTTTGGAAGTAATTGTTTTCATTAGGACTGGGTATTCGACTTTGATTCATACAGTACTAAATCGATCAATTTCGATACAATCTGTTTTTACAATAATGAAAGTGGTTCAACTGTGCTGCAAAATACTCATGTATTTTATTTTTTCCCTGTCATATTAAGCACAAAGTGCAAACTTGTAAATCAGACAGTTTTAACTTGAGATGTGAACAAAACTGTCTCAAAAGTGCAAACTTGTTTGTGAAAAGTGAAAAAGTGAAGCCTCAGGAGCAAGCAGACCTGACACAGAGGGGACACAGCTGAGCTGCATTATCTTCACTGTTTGCTGGTCAGCCTCCATCTGTTAATGTCTTCAGTCAACCTATTGGCTATATTTGCAGCTCTCTGGCTTGAAATAATCTTGGTGGTCTGTAGCACGAGATGCGAGGCATTATCAATGTATGTGAATGTGAACGCCGTGCGCGTCACTATAAAACTAATCGATCATATTCTCTGCACATTTGTAAAACTGTAAAGGAATCGATCCAAAATCAATTAAATTGTTTGTTTGTTTTTTTACCCAGCCCTAGTTTTCATGATAAATTATAATTCTGATGAGTTTATAATATTAAAAACAGGACATACTGTCACAATAAAGAGAGATCAATTATAACATCGACATAAATTCTCATTGTAACAGATAAAGAGTGATTCATGTCTGGTTCTGCACATAATGTTTTGTTAAAAAAGAAAAACACCCAAGGTGTCACACTTACCAGCAAAGGCTTTAATGGAGGATATTAAATGTTGACATTTTAGCCAAAGACTTTGATTTTACCTATATTTTCTCTATAGTTTCCTGATTCCTGTTGTACAGTGTCTACCATTCCCAGAAAATTATATCAATATCAAAAGGATCTGCATGGACAGCATGAATATAGATTAATGTGAAAGTACTTTCTGTTCATGCCTGCTATACAACTTATGTTTATTTCTTATTATTGTCTATAAACTGAACAAAAAAAAAAAGAACCAGAAAGTGAAAGATTTGTGCAGTGAAGACTCAAAATAACATAAACACAACCGGAAGATCTTAAAAACATGTTTAGAGCTTTGTGAAACTTTTAGCAGATTACCGTATAAACTTTACATGTTTATTGATGTTTGAATCCAAAGGTCTGACTAAATAATGATTAAGAACATATGCTGAAATGTACAAATTAATCAGGGTCAAGAAAGGGGGGAAAAAATAAAAGATTCCTTGCAAGAATACAATTATTTTCGCAGTAAAACTATAGTGGTCTCTGTTCTGATCCAAGTATATTGAATCCATTTAAAGACATGCAGTCCAATTAGAGTTTGGTCTATTTACATTCCAGCTGGACTCTGAATCTGCTAATCAGTAAAAAGATATTAATGTGGAGCTAACCATTCTCCCTATCTCTAGTTCGATTGGCTGTATCTGCTGGAAACACATCTGCTCTGTATAAATCTATGTCTGTAGTCTAAAACTTCCAAAGCATCCGAGGCCAACATCATGGACCCAAACAGCTGAGAAACCGATGCATTTACAGCAGCTGAATAAAAGTCAAAACAAGGATGGAAATGATCGTATTCTCTTTGTTGACAGAGCAACCCTTGCTCAGAAGCAGACGGAGAAGAAAGAGATCCAGGATCATCTGAACATCATTAAAAACAGGTGAACATTCAGTATTTAAGTATAAATAGATCAAATAACTCATACATGGAATGTAGGCCTTCAAAAATACTTTGGAAGCCTAATAAACAGAGCTTAATTGTTAAAACATCATAAATAGGATTATTTTTATTATGGTTTATTTTTGTAATCTAAATAAAACATTAAAATTGACCCTTTTTTTTTTTTTTTTTTTTTTATAAAAAAAAAATAATGGCTCGCCATTATTGGTTCCGTCCCGATAGCGGAACCAATAAAAGCGTCGTTGCGGCCGGGACATTTGGGAGATGTGCCATTTACTTTTTGTCTGGAAAATATGAGCAAGTGTAAATGTAACGAAAATTGGCTCCAGCCAAGAGTTTTCTCCATGGCTAAAACCAGGGAACATACATGAGGCACAGTGTATTTTGTGCAAGAAGCGATTCAAGCTCGGAACGATGGGAATTAAGGCAGTGGAGTCACACATACCAAGCATGAAACACAAAGCGTCAAATTCGAGTTACCGAGAAACAGTCGGTATTTCTCGGTTTTGTTCCACCCTTGTCTCTGCAACTCCTCCCCTTATCACCAAATCAAACATATTAATAAAACGATACAAAGAAAAATAACTGCAAAAAATACTGGTTATGTTGTGGCTTTAAAACTGATTTGTTTTTGTTTTTTCCTGCTAAAACAAAAATTGTGAATTCAGTTAAATAATTGTTAAAATAAATCTGTCATTTGTGTGTTTTTAGCTTTCTTCCTGTATGGGAAGCTTTTCAAAATTTGAAACATTAATGCAGCGGTTTATGTTATAACAAACCTTTGGGTTAAGTTGTCGCAAGCAGGTTTGTCTGGTGTTTCTTTTGAATTTGGTCTTAAATTTTTATTTCAAGTGGCATTAAAAAGTCTTAAAAAGTCTTGAATTTAACTTGCCTTATGCTGTAGGAACTCTGAATAAAGGATTCATTTATCAAAATTGTTAAATTGATATGTTTAAACTCTTACTGAGTTTATTTTGCAATGCCAAATTGATTTGAAATAGGTCCTTTTATTTTAAAGGACATTTGGTCTAAATATGAAAGACAAGGGACCTATCAAGTAGAAAGGACTCTTTCCATAAAAGAACCAATCTTCAAAGGGTTTCCCTTGTTTTATTGATCGAATGCATATGATGCAGCAAGGCTGAAACGTTTTCTCCAAACATTTTCAGGTTTTTAGCTCGTTGTGCAAAGCTTAAAGTTCCAGTGCAGAAAGGGGAAGATTTAAAGTGTTCGTCTGTACGCCACCAGGAGGAGACCAAGAAATCTGTGCTTGGAAAGAGGACACTAAAGGCTCTGGAGGTGAGAAATGTGCTACCAGAAAAAAAAAAAAAAAAAAAATCCCACAATGTTCAAACAAAAAATGTGTCTACCTTATCTAAAGGTTCTCTGTCAGCATTTGTCCTTTTGTTTTTTTGTTTTTTGGAGGTTCTGTATTTGTATTAATATCCAGGATGTTGCTTAACACAATAAATTGTATTGGTACGTCTGCTGCTTTTCACCATCACAATCACAGCTAAAATCAAGATGGGGAAAAAAAAGAAGAAAGAAAACGGCCTACACAGATGTTTCCTGTAGATCTTAGCTCATGAGATTTTTGGGGTTATATGAACTCCTCAGCTATCTGAGAGGAGGCGTTCCTTCTTAGGGCCCTGGAGGGACAGTTAAGCCCAAAATGATCAATATCCCCTCTTACAGTGGGCTTTGAATTGGAACAAAGTGAGGAGGACCAGATTCTCAGACACTTTAGTGCTCAAACAGAGAAAAACCAGAATAAACAAAGTCAACCTATGAATGCTTGTTGAACATGGGTCCAAAATGGAGCAGCATCAGCACCTTAGGACGTGTCTGTGCATTTGATGGAACCACAGTGAAGGAGAGAAGAGATCCGCTCCACAGGCAGCTAAATGGTGCCTTCAAGGCGGTATCGTAATTATGGTAAATATCAAAAGCTGGCATGTAAAGTTGCACATGAAAACCAACTCATGTCGTGATTTCTGCTGGAAAGCTTGTGATACCTGAGGTAAACTTTGACCTTTCAACATGGTGTAGACCAGTGAAACGATTCTGGATGGGGAATACTGCATCATTAAGGGTGGATTATACTTCTGCAACTGCACCCATCAAATGTCCCTTACGTTTGGTCGCGAACCAGTTTTGCTGGTATGCTTCTGCACCGTCACTATTAAGTCCACTATATATTCCCTGCTCTATATAGTGATTGAGGGATGTAGGGGTTAGGGCGGATGTTCGGACACAGTAAGCGTGTTTGAGCAATGAGAACAGCAACTTTTAAACAGAGCATGCATGAGGAGAAATGAGTTGTGCATGCTCTTGCACATGTTTAATAGGCGTTCCCTCTCAGGAGCAGGTACAGGGTTGCATGTGCATTTTTTTTTTTTTAAGTGGAGAGGGCTGGCCTTATTAGAAATTCCTGAAAATCCTCCTCTATACCTTTTTAAATGGCCTGATATTCAAAGTTTCCAAATAAGAGGCACTAATATGCAGGTGGAACACAACTGAGCTTTGTACGGCTATTTTTTTAATAGGGGAGAGGGAAAAAAAACTGTTAGGAAGAGATGTTGACCATGAAGGGGTTTCTCTTTACAGATATTCTATTTTTTTTAATAAACTTTAATATTTAAGTCATTATTTTATTTGGTTTAATTGTTTACAGACTGTCTGCCATCAGCTGTGTTAATTCACACCTATCTGTGTTGACATTTTTGATGTATGTGCACAGGATATCTCTGTACCAATGCTTCCTTTGTGGCAACAATAGGTGCTAATATTTTCAAGTCCCTTTGCTCCTCACTTTCAGAAGTACTGAAAAAAGATTCAAAAGCTGCAGTTGAGTTGAGGACAGTCGCTTTACATGCGATAAATGTTTACATATGCATATCCTCCAACCATTAATTTGCACAGTTTGTTCATTAAAAAACAACCTGCATATTGAAGAACGAGACAAAAAATGGTTGGCTCTGGCTGGCTGCAGATGCAAATCACTTTTGACCTTCTCTGAAAAGCAACTTTGCACGTATAAACTTGTTTGCTCCTGTTTTAAGATGAATTTTTTTTTTACCTGTTAATAGTCATAATCTTCCTATTGATCTAACACATTTTTTAAAATCCTAATGTCTCTGTTTTCCAATCAGTTTCTGTGTTTTGATTGTGCAGGAAAACCTGAAGGCTGTTCTTAGCCTGCTGGAAAAGACAGAGGAACAGGCTGTGTCTTTACAGCAGAGCTGCTCAATACTGACGGATGAGTTGGAGGAAGAAGAAGGGAAAGCTGCAGAGGTGCAAAACACAACAATAATAATGATTACAAATGACTGTGATAGCACTGATTGTTTAGATTATTTTGTGGTTAACAAACTCTGCCTGTTCTGCGCTTTACTTCAACAGGAAACTTAACATTTTTCTTCTCTTGTTGATACCTGTTACTTTTAGTGGTACAATAGAAATCAATTCTTTTTCTTTTCTTAAAAGATGGAATGAGTAACAGTTGTTCATGCAAAACCAGGACTGTTTTGCACAAGGACAATCAGACATTTCAGTTCTGTTCAGGAAATATTTCGTAATGTGCCCGTTCTGCATGTTATTGTTACCCAAAAGCGGTTTGATTAATGAGTGCAGAATATTATAAGACTTGCTGACAGTAGCAGCTTTAGGATAAGGGTCTATAGAAAACAATGTAAATAAATATTGCCTGTACTCATGCAGGTTTTACCAAAACGTGATCGAGGTGTTTTAAAGCTTCCACCTCTTCATCCCCAAAAAGAGGAAGCCATATTAGAGGTGAGTGTGAAAAAAAAAAAAAAGGATGTGTTTTTGACCATATTGCAGAATATGTCTCTTTTTCCCTTCTACTTCACAAGTTTGCTTCTTTAATAAGTGAGACTGTCTGAATGTTCAGTTCCTAAGAAATCTAACAGGAAACTGCTCTTTGTGGTGAAGCCCATTTTAGTTGTTGCACCATCCATTCAATTCTGACTGGATACAATAACTTCTGTAATACTTTTGTAAAAAAAAATACTTCTTGCATCACAGTGAACCTCTTGTCTATCTTAGTCACGTTTAAGAAAAATCATACCAAAGAGTGAATGTGAGCCCATTGCTCGGAAACTTGGTGACGTCCTGCAAAAACCAGAGCCCACCCATGATGAGCAGCTTCTACTTCAACAGGCCCAGGAACATGCTGGTCACCTCTTCCCTTCACTGAACAGACGCGGATCTCATTTGGAAAGAGTATAAATGCCTTTTTCTTGAAGAATTTCTTCATTCGTTTTTTTGATTGGTTGTTTTTGTGGTTTCTGTGGTCGGACTGTAACTTGCTTTTGCTTTCATATAAATTTGACATCTTAAAATGCTTTTAGCGTTGATCTTTGAAAGCAATTCATATTTTTCTTTTGTCTGTCAAGCCTTATGCCACTAATATATATCACTGTAGTATTATATCCCTATTATTTTACAGTTGTGTAATTTCAGTTAAAGATTTGCTGTTTTTGAATTGTTAATTTGTGAATAAATACATATAAACAGTCAAACAAATGTCATTTGAAAATGAAAAGTTTGTTTTTAAAAGTTTTGGTAATTTTAGCAACCAGTGGCTTCCTGAGTCTACTGTCAAGTTAAAAAAAAAAAGATTTAGTCCTTCTTCACAGCTCAGATTCACAAAACTTTAGAAGATAAATGTTGCCACTGCAAATCTGTAGAATCTGAGCCACCCTTCTGGTAAAAGCTTACCTAGTGTCACACCTGAGGGCATTGAGTCATTGCCTTCACAGCAACCCCTCATCTTGTGTAAACTTCTGGCTTCATTGCAAAGCAACACCTGATTTTGCAAATTTCCTTCTAAACCACATTCTGCTGAGCCTGGCTTTGGTATTAGAGGGGATTTGCAGAAACTGGTTGGGGGTTGATGGAGAGTTAATAAATTACTGGTCCAGGAGTACCTTTTTATTTATATTAAATCTAAATGTATTTATAAAGCAGTTATCATACAACTTGTGCAATAAAAAGTCTTTCCAGAGTTAAAAACATTACCCAATTGCCAGCCAACATAATGATATATATTTAAATAAGTAAAGCATGCATATTTGATGTTTATTTTGGGGAACAAAAGTGAGTTCTGAACACAGAAGCACTGGGCTATGCATAACAGCTTACAACCAAAAAAAAACAATGGAAATTGTACAAGTGCTAGTAAATGATAAACTGAGAGTAGCAGGGGGAAATTGTGGTCATTATGTCCTCCGGCAGCTTGGCTTATACCAGCAGAGATGGCTCAGGATAACCTTGGCCCCTGTAACTATAAGCTTCACCGTAAAGGGAACCTTTTAAGTCAGGCATCCCCAAAGTGGGTCCATGAGGGCCGCTGTCCTTCAGGTTTTAGAGGGTTCCCTGCTCCAGCACAGCTGATTTACATTAATAGTTGATCAACAGTCTTTAGCTGAACTGCAATCATCAGAATCAGCTGTGCTAAAGCAGAGAAACCTCTAAAACCTGCAGGAGGACCCTCAAGGACCAACTTTGGGGATGTCTGTTTTAATTCTATTTTTTGAAGTAGATGGGATACAACTGGTAGTTTATCTCACAGGGAAAAAAAACATCTGCCTTATATTCTAATTTCTTTTTTCAAATTATGCCAAAAAAACAAGACTTCCCAGAAAATTTTAATAAAAATAGTTTGATATTGGGTCATTCCTGGTCAATGACAATCATATGGCTCTATTAATAATAAGCCTATTTAATGCCACGCCGAGCGAACAGCTGACTAGACAGTTTGTTTTCATATATTTTTGTAAACGTATTTATAAAAAATCAGCTTAATGTAAACCAACTAAGAAACTTACAGCTCTGAAATGTTTCACTAGATTTAAAGATTATGAACTGAAACTTTTTTCCCCCTGAAAGCATAAATTCAGCATATTACTTCCTTTACACATACCCATGGTGTAGTATCAGGTCCTTATTTTGAAGGGTGACAGCATGCCAGCTTAGTAATGTGAATCTAGTTGGAATTTATGAAGTAAATCTTATATCCTTGAGGTAAAATATTGAGAGTAAACTTGCCTCCATATTTTTTCTAAGTGTCACCAAACTACAGGCAAGATGCATCATGAATTAATATCTAACCATGACCCGCCTGCAGCATGTCTGAACACAGGCAGGAATGTTTTCTCTGATGAATACGCACACCTCTAAGAGCTATTTTATTAGCTCAGCCTTAAAAAATCATTCTATATATATATATATATATATATATATATATATATATATATATATATATATATATATAAATATATATATATATATATATATATATAAATAGAGTAGTCATTTAGGGCATTGGAGCTGCTACTGCAAATCTAGTTTCATACTAACCTGAATTGAAAAACAGCCAAGAGGAGGCTTTTGAAAGATCTTGAAAATCTAGAATTTGAACATAGGAAATAAAACCTGGTGTAGATTAAAACATCTTCCACAATGTTGTTAAAACTAGCTGTTAGTGATGTACTGAAACATGTGACCATGATAAATCATTTCCAATCTTATTTCACCTTTATTGTGATGCATATTATGTAAACAAATCTGTTTATGGGGAAATAACTAAATAATACAGCTGCAATAGTTGCAATTCAGTTTATTCATATAGCCAATAACCAATTCACAACACATGCAATCTCAAAGCACTTTGCAGTCCACCAGATCATACAGTCAGATTGATTCAAAATTTTCTGTCTAAGGAAATCCAGTTGATAATATTTACCCAATGACTCTTCAGCAATCCCTCACAATAGGCATGCTTGTAGTGAAAGTAGAGAGGAAAACTCCCTTTTAACAGGAAGGAACCTCCAGCAGAACCAGGCTCAGAGTGAGCGGTCATCTGCTGAAGCCAACTTGGGACAGAAACAGACATAACCTGCATAAACTTTACTTATCCTACTCTAACTGAATTGTACACAACAGTAAGATTTTGTCAGAACACATTTGTCAACTATACACTAACTAAAGTCTAGCTGTTCTGGTAGGAATGAACTAGTTCAATTCATGAAAATGACTCCATTTCTTTCATCAGACATTACAGTACCAGATGAAACAGATTGATGTTTTTTTTTTTCCTACTTGCTTTGATTCTGTTTTATCTTCCTGTATTTTAATCATGTAAAGCACTTTGCATTGTCTTTGTACTGAATTGTGCTATACAAATAAATTTGCCTTGCCTTACCTTGCCTTGCCTATAGCCTCGGTGGGATCACCTAATGGACGTCTGTGAAGAAGGGATGTCCTCACATGCTGATAAATTAGTAAAGCTTTTGGAAAGCAGAGTGGGTAACTATTACTACTATCAAGATGTGGGATGCAGATAGACTGAATGGGGAAACTAAATAAAAATGTGCTCCAAGAAAGTATTAAAAGGTGTGCATACTCATCCAACTGACTTCTAGCACCTGTTTTATATTTCTACTTTCAACAGATTTAATTTCTTCTCAGTTTAAATGCGTATAATACATCTATGTAGAGCATCTTTGACCAGGTGTTTCTCTCAGTCTGGTGTTATGGTAAAATCATTCACCACAATCAAATATTGATATGTAGGAAAATTACTAAAGATATATTAAGCAGCTGCAGAAAAAAAAGAGATAGTTTAAGGAAATGTTTTGACAATATGGAGTTATGAAATCAATTGCTTAAACACCTTAACTTGTGCAAGGCTGCTATATTTTTACCCAGTGTTTACCCGTAATAAAATCCGCAACATGAATGCTAAGTTGGATTAGCTCGCCTTGCACTAAAGAAGAGGAAGAATGATATCTGTTCACATTAGGGGTTAAATGTGTGGGAAAAGTCCAGCTTTAATTGGTGAGCTTCAGAACAGCAACAAGAGAGGGTCTTTACTTTGCATTTACTATTTATTTTGAATTCTAAAATGCATCCAATATGATCCTTTGAAGCATAAAAACATTAATACATACAGCTGAAAAGACCTTAGCTGCTCCAGTGTAATACATTCATAAAACATATCTTGAACAATCAGTACAACATTTGATCTTTTTCACATTGTTTTTTGAAAATAAAAAAAAGAAAACTCAACATCCAAACTGGGCATGGAGAGCAGACTGAATAGATACACAGACCATACTTTTTTATTTAAAAGAAAGAATGAAAATTGTTAATCTTTTACACTTACATGAACTCCCTGCAAAAATGTCTGCTACAAAATAAGTTTGCAGTACAGTTTAAAAACACACAATATCACAGCACATTTTATACATTCCTAAAACACATTTCTCTTTCGCAAATACACATTGAAAAATCATTGACCTAAAGTGCATTACAGTAACTCATTCCTTTAATTTTAGTCATAATACTAATGTCGCTATGAAGAAGGAAAAGAGAGAACAATAGATTATAGAAATAAAGGAGGTCAACCATAGATAGAGAGTTCTATGGTTGACATACAAAAGAGAGTTCTTAGCTATAAAAGCCATGGGCTCCAATCCTGGTTTTCCCTTTTTTCTTTCCAGGTATTCTACTTTTTAACAAATCAAAAACATTAGCCTGGTTGATTAAACACTCTTTGCTGGCCTTGCTTGGGAGTTCTACATGTTACCTTGTGTTTTACTGAATATCTGTCTAGGGTTTAACCACCTTTTCTCTTGCTAGAGCTGGACACCACTCCCCATGTCTGTTCTGTTAAAGCACTTCTCGACATCTCAAGTTACATCTGGGAGTTCTTGATTGACTTTCTTCGTATGGACTCATAGGATTCATCGTTAAAGAGGCGATCTATTGTGGAGACAAGTGAGGCTTTGATGGCACGGCTGAGGCCTTTGGCAGCAAACACATAAAGCACAGGATTAAGAGCGCTTTTGATATAAACTAGATATAGCGAGATGTATAAAGCATTGCCTGCTGATTTTTCTAAAGAAGACTTTTTGCCTGCCAGGGCAAGGATGAAGCGACAGACAAAGTAGGGGACCCAGCAGGTGAGAAAAAGAAGCATGGTGGCAAAGAGCACATGGTACATCCTGGCCATCTTTCGCGCCATTGATGGGGTATTGCCAGTGGGTGTCGATGGTAGGGCTTTATTGATGGTGAGAAAAACAGCCATGTTACTACCTAGGAATACCATAAAGGGCAACAAGAAGCCGGCTATTGTTTCCGTCAGAAATAATGCTAGATTGAAATCCCTGCTCTCCCGGCACTGCCAAAGGGTGCCATTAACACCCTTTAGTTCAGTAAAGTAGATGTAGGGAGCAGCAAAGATTAAGGCCACAAGCCATATGAGTCCACAGACCAGTGGAACCGCCCAGGAGGGCCGTTTTAGTCGAGCCCACACAGGCCTGAGCAGACACAAGCAACGCTCCATAGCCACAGCACAAAGCACGAAAGCTGAGCCATAGAGACCCAGACTTCTCATGAATACTATCAGGTGGCAGACGGCCTTTCCAAATGGCCAGCTGAAATTATTTAGTAGGTAGCCCACCATGAGAGGAGTCCGCAGGAGCAAGATGAGGTCAGCCAGGGCCAGGTTCAGGACGTAGACTCGGAAACTGTTGGCAGCACGCGTTTCCTCAGTGCTGCCTCTGCGCACCAGATGACGGCGACCCCGTAGTCCAAGAGCCCAGACCACCAACCCATTCAGACACACGCCCACCTTTGGGAACCAAACAGACTTAGATTTAACAGTTCTATGCAACACAAGACAGCCGGAATGCTCTTTGAGTTTCAACTAAATGGTTTTGATCATAAAGATAACAAATATAATCAGCAGATTAACACAAACTTCCTAAACCAAAATTAAACAGGATATCCAATCTCAGGCATTTATACTCATGCAGCCTCTTATTCAAAACTATCACTGCATATTAAAGAAAATAATGCATAAATTAAGGTCGTGGATTTCCTACCAGGAAAATAAGCAGAGTGACAGCAATTTGGATTCCCCTGGAGGCCTCTGTCTGCCAGGAGCTGCTGGAATTTCCAACGGGCAGTGTCGCGTTCTCACCGGCCATCGAGCTACTGTGGAGTAGGAGAAACACACCCATCCCTTAGTGTTGCAAAGACACAGAAGGAGCAAGATTGCACATGTGTTGCCTGTTTAAAATGAAGAAAAGGGCAGACGACCACATACTTCCTTTTTTTCTCACCCCTTTCTTTTTTAAACAAGAACAAATGTTAAAAACTACATGAAAACCACCGTACCGCATCATCAATATGTGACCCTTTATGATGTTTTTTTTCCTCCCTATAATGAGCCATTAATAAAAACATGTGCAAACAGTAGGCGTATCCACAATAGTGACAACGCTGAAAGGAATCTGTAATTAGTTCATTTAGGTAGCCTGAGGGTCCTGCAAGAACCAGCATCCAAGCCAGACCTGTGCGTGTAGCCGTATGCAACCATTCACATTTTAATGAACACGTTACATTTAGGCAGAGTAAGCGTGTGCCAAAGTGCTGATTGTAGCTTTCATTACAAGCTTTTTACATTTTACAAGATTTTTCTATTTTTTTTTTTTTTTAGAATCTAGATTAGTGCCAATTAAAGATGATTCACAATGCGCTGATTAAAAGCTGTTAAAAATATTACAGGGTTAGTTACATACCTCTTCAATGTTCCTTGAGTGTGGAAGAAGGGGAGCAGCACCTAGGAGAGGGAGATCCTGTTTGGTCTTTTAACATCTCTCTCTCTCTCTCTCTCTCTCTCTCTCTCTCTCTCTCTCTCTCTCTCTCTCTCTCTCTCTCTCTCTCTCTCTCTCTCTCTCTCTCTCTCTCTCCTTCCTGTGTGTTATTGCAACATTGAGTTTTTCTCCCAATCATATCTGCAGATCTGGCAAACAGCTTTGACATTTTAACTATAAAAAATACGCTCTCTCAGTTTAGACAACTTTATTGGATGTTTTTCTAGCATACCTTTGGGCATGCAATTGTTAAATGGGCATTGCAGGGCTCAGTTATCTAAAATGAAAAGGAGAAAAGTTTATTTTTCTGCCAGCATATATATGTTTAAATAGGAAATTAAGTGGTTCCTTAAAAAGGGGAAGAGAACCTTCATGTTTTTTTCACTTTCATGGTATATAGTTCACTTTCAAGAGGTCTTAATTAGGTTTTTGTTGATATTGTTTTCATAGTTCTAAAGAAAACCTGAGAGTGGAAGATTTGATTATTATAGTTTAAAGTCCCATATTAGCCTCAAGTCATTTTTATATGACAATGTTTTGTTTTTGTTCTTGGTTTTGTTGTTGTTTTTTTTTTTTCTCTTCTGTCTTACAAATGCCAGCTGTCTTCGTGATACTAATCTTTACTGATTTTTGATGTTGATAAATTTAACATAATTTCCTTCTGCGGTGCATGAGTGTGCATGCAGTGCATATGTCTGCGTGCCCGGGTGGTTAAAGGGTGCACTGGCCTCCTGCTGGCATGAAGTGAAGTTCTTCCTGATTTCAGTCTCTATGTTATTGTGATTTTATGTATACACATGCATATTTTTATCCTGTGTGGGCAGTGCTTTTATTTTATTTTATTTTATTTACTTTTATTTATTTTATCTTTTTTGTGCAGCACTTTGGAAACCTTGTGTTTATTGAAATCGTGCTATATAAATAAAGTGGATTGGATTGGATTTATTTTTTTATTTACGATTAATCCAGTTTTTTTTTAACACGTACACAGCGCAAAAGAGGTGATCCATCCCACTCAAGCTCACTCACTCAAACTTTTGAATACAGCATTAAGTATTTTACATTTTCTTTTCGAAGAAACAATAACTAGAAAATATAAATAAATAACAAATAACAAAAATAAAATAAAACAAAAAGAAAACACCAAGTAAAACTAAAGACTAAAAAAGCAACATAAGTTAGAAAAAAAACTAAGAGATGAGGTTTGATTACATGGTTGCAAAAAAGTCTACAGAAGGTTGCCATTTATTAAAAAACATGTTCACATTTCCCTTTTCTGAATAATGATTTAAAAAGGACATAATCTCTCTTACCCATACTGTTATTTTAAACTTAGACTTAGACACACTGTATTGTCAATTTGTCTAAACAGTGACTTTTTTTAGCAGCAGCGTAGCAGTGAAAAAGAACAATAAAGTGCTGCAGTGATCAACATTTAAACTGTGGAAGAGACATGGTGCAAAAAGGCATTGATGTGGAAGGTTCAGAGCTGTGCAAAAATAATTAGATATGGTGCAAAAATGTAGTAAAGAATATTTGAGTTGCGTTCTAGTTTGAACATTCACCATGTAGTGCAAGTATCATGATATCAGTGTGATGCAGAGTCTAGATTTGTGACTTGATTTAGAGTCATTTCCAGTTAGCAATTACAGACATAATTCTTTGCTAGAATGATGGCTAAAGATACAAATATGTGGTGATGTGAATAGTTTTTAAAGAACCTTTATGTGTGCGTAATTTCTCCAGAAATCTTACAAAGCTGGACATTGAAAAAAAAATAAATCATATGCGCAAGATTTCAGGGTGAAGCTCCACATCTGTCATAAACTGCCTCTGTATCTTGGAAAATCTTTGCTCGCTTCGTTTTTTGTGTAATTACACCTGCATCCAACTTTAAGCTGTATCGATCAAGCGAGCACATATAAAAATTCTGTGATTTACCGCAGATTTCTAACGATGTTGAGGGACTAGCAGTTGAAAAAAAACAAAACGTTTTGGTAGAAATACAGGCACATTTTTAAAATAAAAGAATATATATATATATATATATATATATATATATATATATATATATATATATATATATATATATATATATATATATATATATATATATATATATATATATATATATATATATATACATATATACAACTAAAATATATATGTATATTTACACACACACACACACACATATATATATATAAAATTTCATTTTTTTCTGAACCCTTGGTAGTTATGAAATAATACTTTTTACATTTGCTTTTTGCAGAATTTAGCTTCATTTTCTGACTTTAGAAGTAGAAACGTGACAAATTTAAAGTTAGATACTTTTACAGCATGTTTTATGTAAAAAAAATTATATGTTTTCTGAAGGCTCAGATATGATGCAGAGCCACACCCTCTTTAGTAGCAAGTGGATGCAGTAATCCATTTTTATCACTAGATGGTGATATTGAGCATCAAGAAAACTGAACCAAATTTTAATAATTAGTATTATCTTCATTGAAATCACAATAAAGCCATGTCTCAAATAATTTACCCTTCATAGAAGTTTTTTTTTTTTGCTAAAGTTCCCTTTTTTTGTCGATTCAGAATTGGGAAACAAAAATAAAGCTTAAAAAAATAATATTTGTATTTCCAGACTTTATTCCCTATTGCATTACTATCCCATCTGTCCGTCCCTTTGCTTCCGTCCGTCCAGGGAATTGATTAGCTGGCCTTATAGTAATATCTGCACTACATTCATGGGGATGTGTATAATTGAAAAGCAAAAAAGCAGGGAAAAAAATTTATTTATGTCTGACTAAAAGTATAAAATAAGATCATGAAAAAAATTATTTGAATTCTATTGCATGTTTTAAAGACTATACTGCAAATGTTTGATATTGACAAATTAGTACTATATAAAGATATATTTTAATATGGTGATACATGTTTTCATCAAAAACCAATTTGAATTCTTGATGACTCACGATCCTCACAATGCACTGCCAAAATCAGATAAAAACATTTAACTCAACAAAATGTAAAACTGTAATTTGTAATTTCACATTAAAAGGGCTACAAAACTTTTATTGTCCTCTCAGAAATTAGTCCAGATAAGTCTCATGAAATCAAAGTTAGATTTAAAAATCTTGGTTAAAATAATGCCGGCACTAGATTCAAAGAATTAATCAGAATCAGAAATACTTTAATAATCCCAGAGGGAAATTACTTTTGTTACACGCTCCAGTTACAGTTTTATATATATATACAGTGCTGCTTGAAAGTTTGTGAACTAGTTGAGTAGTTTAGATTTTTCTTTATTTTTACCATGATTTTCTTATTTTTTCATCACCAGTTTTTGTATATGAAATGTCAGGTTTATGTTCATCAATTCCATTCATTTGTTTTGAGGAAAATGTGGGAGTTGAAAGCAAACTAAATGAAAAACGGAATCAGAGCATCTGCAAAAGTAAATGAACCACAGCTGCACTGGTAAAGACAATCAGGTAAAAGACTCAGGTGAAGCACATGTTCTTCTTCTTCTTCTTCTTATGGGGTTTTATGGCGGTTGGCAGGCTTGTGAATTGTGCATTACCGCCACCAACTGATATGGAGTAAAGCAAGAAAACAGAAAACGATTCACCCAAAAAAAAAAAAAAAAAAAAAAAAAAAAAAAAAAAAACCTGTGTAACTTAAACCAACATAATACTAAATCACATTTGCCCATATAATTTTAATTTACTCTAGGTCATCTTAACTCTGCCAGTTTCTGATGGTCCCATCGGTCCTCCCATCATACTTCCAACCATCTCCCAGTTCAAATCTTTAATGTCCAGGTATTTTTCTGCAGCCTTCACTATTATTTTGATTTTTTCCGTTTTTTTTTGTTGTCTGTGCAGTACAATTAATTACTTCTACCATGAAAAGAACAAAATTTGTCTTTTTAACAATAAGTGAGTCTTCATCAATTTTTTGATTCTCTAGAGGTTTGGAATTTGCCGTGTGTTGAACTGTAGGTTTGGGTTTCTCTGACTGAGATGGGATCCTTTTTGCAGCTTCAGCGTAGGTTATTCCGAGCTCAAATTTCATTTTTTTAATTTCCTCAGACCTTTTGCTTGCTTCACAGCCGCGATAGGCAGCAGTATGTTCTCCACCACAATTACAGCATTTTATTATAGCTTCTTTTCCACATTTTCCGTACTCATGTTCTCCTGCACACCTTCCACACCTCTGTTTCCCTTTACAAACTGCTGCAATGTGACCGAATTTTTGGCATTTGAAACATCTCAATGGTGGAGGATTGTAGATTTTGACATTATAGCTTATGTAACCGATGAATACTTTGCTTGGTAATTGCTCTTCCTCAAATTTAATTAGCACTGATAAACTGTCAGATCTTTCTCCGTTTCTTGTTGTTTTTAACCGTTTTACTTCTTTTACTTTTGCACCGCTTATGTTTTCCAGAATCTCTTTTTCAGAAATTTTTAGAGGAACTCCTCCAATGACTCCCCTGCTGATCTTTTTGTTCTCCATTAGGCTGCACTGAACTCTTATCCCGTCAATTTTGTTGATCCGTATTGCTTTGCCTTGCTGGGCGCTGTCTCTGCAGTTAATTAGCAGGTCTCCACTGTACAGAATTCTGGCACCTCTGACTTCTCCGACAAGTTTATTGATGGTTTTTGTTAAGTGAACCGGATTCCAATTTGTAAAAGAGTCTGCCTGATTAACGACTTTGAATATGACTTTGAATTCATTTTGTTGTGCTGTGGAATGTATGGAATGATCATCACTGGATTGTTCTGAACTAGATTCCCCTTGAACTGATCTCTGTTTTTTCCGCTTTTTCTCATTTTTTGATGTTGCTATCTTCCAACCTTCATTGTCACTATTTCCCTCTTCCATCCCACAAGAATCGCTTCCTGTTTCCTCACTACTCACGGCCCAAGACATTTCTCCATAAGCAGCTTCAAAACACGCGCCATGCACCAAACGACCATCCACATGCAATCCTCCTCTCTCTGTCCTTCCGTGG